ATTTGGCTTGCTTTTACAAAACAAATTATTGTTATCAATTGGTTTGTTTGGTTTTTTTCCATTGCATTCATTTCCAAATATATTTTCCTCCTTCCTAGAGAATTCCTTCTAACAAAGAATTTTAAAGATAAAGAAGGAAGGGGCAGCTAGGTGGCACAGTGAATAGAGCACTGGCCCTGGAGTCAGGAGGACATGAGTTCAAATCCAGCCTCAGACACTTGACACTTACTAATTGTGTGACCCTGGCAAGTCACTTAACCCCATTGCCTAGCAAAAAACAAACAAACAAAAAAGATAAAGAAAGGAAAAAAGGAAATTCAGCAAAACTAACCAAACATCAACCAAGTTAATAGTTCCCTATAGGGCGATGGATTTTTTTTTTTTAATTTGAAAAACAGCTACTGAATTATAAAACTAGCTGGTAATTATATAATGCTTTAAGGGTTTCAAAGTGTTTATGTTTATTATCTCATTTTATCCTTGCAACAACCCTTATAGTGGTATGGAATGGAGACAAAAGCTGGTGCCCAGCATTTGGGGACATAGTCATACAAATGGTGGTGTGTGAACTTAGTGAAATATTATTGTGCTACGAGAAATGACAAATATAAAGAATTCAGGAAAGCACAAGAAAACCTGTATAAATTAATGTAGATCAAAATAAGTTGAATGAAGAAAGTCATCCCCATGTCCATGATAACATAAAGAAAAAGAACCTTTTAAAGCTTCAGAACTCTGATGAATGCAGTGACTAGTCAGGAGTTCAGAAGATTTCCTGGTGAAGTATGCTTCACTGTTGTCAGAGAGCTAGGGAACGGGGAGCATGGTTGTCAAAAGAAGCCAGTGACTTGTTTAGCCTGGTTGTAATTTTTTGTTATAAAGGAAAAGCTCTATGTATTTGTTTTGTGGATGGTATCAATGGGGAAGTCAAAATGATGTAGCTCCAAAGGGAAAAGCATTAATAAAACTTGGGGAGGAAGGGAAGAAGGGGGTGGGGGAGAGAGACAGACACAGAGACAGAAAGACAGACAGAGAGAGAAAAAGACAGAGAGAGACAGAGACAGAAAGACAGAGAGAGAAAGTGCAACAGAGACAAAGAGAAACAGAGAGTGAGACAGACACACACCCACACACAGAAAGAGAGCATGGGCGAGAGAGACAGAGCGAGAGGCAGAGACATAGAGATACAGAGACAGAGAGAGAGAGATCTGATCAGCATTGTGACCATTCAGGACTTCCGAAAGCTATTGGTGAAGCTTGAATCCCTCCTTGCCATTAAGATGTGGTAGATTATAGGTGCAGAATGAAACATACATTGGGGATGGGTGGAAAGTTACAGAGAAGTTTAAAAAAAGAGAGATTATCAATAAAATACCTAAATACATTTTCTGCCTTCCCTGAAATAAAAAATACCTTTTTAAAAATAATAAATAATTCCAAGTTTTAAAATGACATGAAATTTTGTTTGTATGTGTCTTGGTATTATTTATTCCTCCTCGCGCACTTTAATGGAAATACGATAGAGGATTAGGCTGGGAATCAAGAAATTTGTAGCTTTGGCCAGATCATGACACTTCTCTGTGCCTCAGTTTCTTCATCTGTAAAATGAGTAGGTTGAACTATATGATATTTAAAACCTCTTCCATTTCTAAAATTCAGTGTTTCTGAGATATCTAACTGGCTTAATTTGTACTATGCCTCTGGGAAAGGATTTTGCTTAAGCTTTTAGTGACTGACCAAATAAGGTAATGATTTACTGATAAGCTGGATGGTTCCTTCTTTGCAGTTGCCAAAAGCATGGTAAACTACTTTAGCTTCAGCATGTTTTCACAGTAAACATGAATTCTGTACTAGGGCTGCCTGCCTGCCAAGCCTACAGACAGACAGTTTTGAGTGTGAAAAAAATAAGCACCAACGTATTGCTTAAAATGCAAAAGAATCTCTATGGTTACCAGGTTTTAAGTCCATTGTGCAAAATTCCAGGAGCTTCCCAGTAGTAAGGAGGTGGTCTGCTTTCTTAACTGACAGTCTGACAGGTAGAATTCTTGTCTTGGTTTCTGTTCTCAGTTTCTCTGCTGCATCATGACGTCTTTGCCTTCAGGAATAGAAGAAGGGGTCAGTTGTGTTATGGCTCTACCCCAACCCTGCCTACTCCAATTTTCCTACAAACCTTTCTGACCAAACTCTGTATCTGGCCCAACTCTCTATGTCATTTTCAGTAGAGGATAAATATAGTTAGCCAATAGAAATGTGGGCGAGGTGTGATTTTAATTTTTTCCCCTTAGAATCCAGCTTAGATATTCTAACAAAACATAATGGAGGTCAGTACTTTCATAGGATTATTACTCTTTTCCCATAAGGACTACTTGAACTACATCCCTCAATATACAGTTGAAACAACACGGTTCAGTCAAAGTTGAAATAGGGGGCAGGATAAAATAAAATCTATTATGCTTCAGCCAGACTTTTGAAAAGCATAGTTTCACTCTTAACCTAACTGACTCATCTTGAATTAGTAATGAATATGGGCAGTCCAAGCTCCTAAGGAAACAGACAAAAATGTACTCTGTAAACAGGTTGAGAGAAGAACTGAATCCTTAACACGTTTATATCCTGAAAGGAAAGGTAAATGGAGACATCTCTGAATTCTGTGTCAGGTGTTAACACATACTGAAAATAAAGGACATCAATTGGGAAAGATTAAATTTTCCTTTGGGTTTATGAAGAATTAAGATTTGTCCAGGTTCAGGGTTGTAAAAGGCTTTGTATAAACAGGTTTGTTTGTTTTTTTTCTACCTTAGGAAGTAGTTTTATGTACTCAAGTTACTATCTTGGCCAGAAGAATGACTCTTCCTTTGGAATGAGGAAAATCTCACCAATTCAATTCAACAAATATTTATTGAGAGTTTACTGTATGCCAGGAATTCTGCCTCTTCAAATTCCTTCGAGTTTCAGTTTGTGTCACTGTAATGCCTTCTCTGTTATCCCTCCCCCCACCCCCCCACATTGTTAGCGTTTTCTGCTGCCTCAACTTACCTAGTATTTAAATGTTTTTGTACAACTTGTCATTTGTCTCCATTGAGTGTAGGCCCTTTGGGCAGGGGCTAAGGGAGGTACCCTGCACAGTGGAAAACACATGGGCTGTGGAATCAGAAGACTTGGTTTCAAATCCTGCCTCAGATACTTATTACCTGGGTGACCTTGGGCAAGACACTGGGCCTCAGTTTCCTCATATATAAATTGAGAAAGTTGGCAAGATGGCCTCAGAAATGCCTCCTAGCTCTGGATCTATGATACTACGCCTACTTAGGAGGGTTTTCTGTGCAATAAGTAGATGCCAAATAAATGTTTTTTTGAAACAGTCATTTGAATACAAAACTGAACAAGACACGGCCCCAGCCCACAAGGAGTCTTAGCCTAGTGGGGGAAATAAGACTGCGACATACATAATTGTCATGCCAGGTGTATAATGTGATAGTGTATTAAGAAGGTAGTCTGATGGATAGAATTCCAGGGCTTTGCTAGTTTGGATTTGGTAAGAGGTAGCATTGGAAGAGAGAATTGTTTCAGAGCCTGCGGTAAAAAGATTGGTGGCCTGAGAGCTGCACACAGTTAAGCCATGACGGTGTGTGAGGGGAGGCGAGAGGGTGTCTAGGCAAACATCCATTCATCTTGCTTTCTGTTGTTGCCCTGTTTCTTAGGCTCCCCAGTTTGGGTAGCGGAGAAGAAGTGAGGGACAAGCCATTTACTTCTGCAGCTTGTGAGGGCATTGGGCAAAAGAGGACGTTAAATTATTAATTATATAATTATCATATTATAGTATAGTATAGCATATGTAGTACTATATTAGATAAATATTAATATAATATGCATTGTATATTATATATTATACAATAATACATTTATATGTGATATGTAATGTATTATATAATACATAATTATACATTATATAAAATTGATAATATAATAATTATATAGCAATAAAAATTATTAACTAAATGAGTGTTTTGTTATTTGGAAGGAAGCTCAGTTATTTCAGAGAGTCTCTGCTGGTAACATTTATTCTAATAGTGTTAGGGTATCTAGTCTTTTTCAGTGTGCTCCAGCATTAACCATGATTTCACCAACTTTGTTGGGTGTTGATCTAATATGCCACCAGGCTGGTTCTCTAGGCTTATATAGTTCACCTCTATTAGCAAAATGCAACAATCCTAATTTCCATCTAGAGAAAAGAATTGGGTATTAGTTATGAATTAACAAAAAAGCAAATGTTGGTTCCAAGTAATTTGTTGATGAGGGATTATGGTTGGATTGTTGGTTCGCATAATAGCTACACTAAGGTACAACAGGGACTTTTATGAAAGATATTGTTGTTAAGCTTCACCCAAAAACAAAAACCAACTATACCTCCCTCCCTTCTTGCAAAGGGGGGAAACTAAGGGTATGCAGTGTTGTATATATTATTAGACACAGTTGATTTGTTGGTTAATTTTGCTGCTTTTTTTTCTTTCAATTTTTTTTTTTTTACAGGAGATGGCCCTCTGAATAGGAGACAGGAAGGGCCACATTCTGAAATGAAGGCAGTATGAAAAACAAAAGACAAATTAAAATTTTAAGGAAAAGATAGCTCTGGTATATAACAATAAATTAAAAAATGGATAGGAACATAAGGTTTGGACTTTTGAGGATTGGACCTAAAAATCAAGAAATACCTACTCATTTTTTCAGATCTTAGGTTTCCACCAATCAGTAATGGCCTCCTGTCCCAACTACCCATCAGTACTCTTGCCCATTGCTGCATAGTGCCGATATTTCATTGAAATTCAGCCCCCTTTATGTCAAACTACAACAGCTTTACCAAGGCCTGTTTCAGAAAGGTCCCACCCAGAAACCCTTCTCTCTGTCTTTCTGATGTTAATATTTTTTGTTTCCATCATGTCAAAGTGTCCTTGTTCATTGGTGTTAAATGTTTTTTTTTTTTTAAATGTTTTCTCATTCAGATTTGCAACTATGTGGGGCCAGCAAAAGTTATTGTCCAGTTGGTCACCAATGGGAAGCATGTCCACCTGCATGCTCATAGCCTGGTGGGGAAACACTGTGAGGATGGAATCTGCACTGTCACTGCTGGACCCAAGGACATGGTGGTGGGGTAAGTGATAGTGTCAGTATGATGGGTGGAAGGTGACATGTAGAAGGAAGGAGGGCCAGAGACCTTTCTTAAAGGGAGGCATTTTTGGTAGAAGTCCCCTTGTGGACATTTAGAAGGCTTTCTCAGGGAACTAAGTATTCTTGCCACCATCTCGAAGGTCTCTCTCTTTGTCATTTGCCTGGCACATACTAGGCACTTAGTAAATGTTTATTGATTGATTTGTTGGGGCATCTGACATACTCTTGGTGATTTTTTTTTTCCTTGAATAAATTAATTTTCACTTATGGAACAAACATTTGGGAAACATCTCAGAAAGGAGAAATAGTTAGGATTGGTCTCCAAACTCTTGCTTCTCAGAAGGTACTTACTGAAGGACAAGAAGCAACAGATTTTTATTTTTCCATTTACTAGATTCATACCTAGACAGGCTCACTTATTTGTCCATGAATTGATCGGACTTTTGTTTTTAATTTTAGAAGTTTTATAAAAAGAATTTGAATCCAAAAGATGAAAAAAATCAATTTCAAAAATTAGGATCTTTTGAAACTTCATAATCCTGGCTTAAGCAAAGTTTATGATGAAATCTCAGTTAATCTGTGTTGTTCATTCAAAAGAGAGATGTTGCATGAAATCACTGTAATTAAACTTCTAGTGGCATTGCAGACCTTGAGTTGAGCTCAGGTTTCAGTTTGGCTCTTAGTAGAGAGAGTTTACTTTCTTTCATGTATGTGCTCTGGCATTTATTTCTTTGTTTGATGATGGGAATACTCGAGTTGTGAAAAGCCTAGGTAGAGAGAGCACTTCCTTTTTAGTCACTAAAATCTGACTCTTTTGATGTCAAAAGGCCTACTGCATTGAAGGAAGAAGCTTAAGTTGATATTAGAATTTCAAATTTGCTTTATTTGCACTTGTCTTTTCAACAAACTCTTGAAAGACTGGGCCTGTTTCCTGTTACCCATCCTAGGTGAGTCACCATGGTCTGTTCAGGAACTCCCTTCCCCTTCCTAATTGACCTCTGAGAGGTCTGAAAAGGCCAGGAGTTGTTGAAATAATTGAACATTAATTGTGGGCCTGCTGGTTTATTAAAATAGCCTCTTATTTATTAGAAATATATTCCAGTTTAATATATCTTAATTATCTCTTGGTTCAGAGCGTCCTGTTCTTAAGGAGCCCTTGAAACAAGGTCTATTGTTATGAAATTTCCAGGACACTGAAAAGTTGTGTTTGTGCCAGTGAATTAGTGTCTCTGACATGGAGGCTTTTTTAGGAAGTTGTTAAGTGAACAGAAGCTATCACATAGGGAGTCAGGAAGACCCTATGGTTATTTCAGTCTCACTTCATCAGTAGATAAGCAATGGGCATCTCTTATTCTTTGGACCAATCAATAAGGACTTACCAAGCACCTGCAATGTGGTAGGCACTATACTGTGTACTGGGGATTCAGAGACAAAAAGGAAACATCCCTGCCCTCGAGGAGCTTGCATTTGCTAGTGTAGGTGTTCTTAACTTTGTGTCACGGACTCCTTGGTCCATCTGGTGAAGTCTATGGATCCCGTTCTCAAAATAATGTCTCTAAAAGCATAAAGGAAAATACATCAGATGACAAAGGAAACCAATTATAGTGAAGTGCAGTTATCAAAATATTTTTTGAGAAAAAAGCTCGCGGGCCCCAAGATGAGGACCTGGCTTTAAATGAAGACAACATGTACATTTCCTAGTAGAAGGTCTCATTGCAATGAGGGAATAGAATGGAGAATGGGCTCTTTGATTGGGAGGTTTCAATAACAACAGAAGCCAGGTTAAATAAACATGGAGTGTCCTCAAAGACACCAAGAGAGGAGCTGTCTTTCCCACCTTAAAAAAAAACAGCCTCTCAGACTTGGCTTCTAAGTTACATCACTAAGATATGTAATAAGTTTAAGCCAGAATGGCCATTTTCTGATTTTGTCCAACCCCATGGGAACAGATGACAATTTCAGGTTGATTATAACAGACCCAGGGGATCTTAAGTCAATGAAGTTGAGCTTTTTTTCACTTGAGCCCACCATTTCTAAATTGATTTCTAGCTCATCAAGAACTCGTTTTAAAATTCGTTTTACAAAATGCTCCTTGTTCCCTTAATTCCTTGAATGAGCATCTGTTTATGTACGCTTATCAGATTGTTTGATATGGATATTATATTCTCTGGCAGTATTTGGGGGAGGCCATAATGTATACAAAGAGAGCATGCTGGAGAGAGTCAGACTTGGAATCAGGAAGACCTAGCTTCCATCATGTACTGGCCTCTCAGGTCATGAAGCAACCTTAAATTGCCAGCTTATTTGAATGGTAGAGGGAGCTTCAACAATGGAGTTCTTTACACTGATGAAATCATAGATTCAGACTGAAAAAAAATATCATAATGAACAAATAATCAAACCAAGAGTTTCCTCTGCTACTTAATTCCCAATTTGGTTATACTTCCATTATGACTTAGATTAGATCATAGGTTCTCAACTTTTCTTTTTTTTTTTTTTTTTTGTCATGGACTCCATTACCAATCTGGTGAGGCCTTATATAAAGCCCTTCTCAGAATACTAGATTTTTAAAGAATTCAAAATTTTAAAAAATGCTTACATTCAATTAGAAGTTAGTGAAAATAAAGATGTAATTTTTCCCATCTAAGTTCACAAACATTACTAAAATTGTCCAAGTGTCCGGGGAACGGGAGAGGATGTTCAGGTTAAGATGCCCTGAACTAGATTATCTCTAAAGTCCTTTACCTCCAAAATGCTGTGATTCTTTGTTTATTCTGAAACAACATAAAGTAGAATGAGCAAACTTGTCATAGTTTTTATTTGTGTCATATTACTAGCCAGTATTTTGCCATTTTGACTTAGCTGGCAAGAAGGTGGTTTTTCACATGAAACATGGATGGAATTTGAAGATGATAACCCTCAGTTGGTTTGTCAGTGATGGAACCATGCTATTCAGTCTGCTTCGGATCTCTCTCTCTAGATTTCTCTGGATTCAGAAGGAGGCTTGAGCCCAGGGCAACAGAAAACTCAAAGAGGATGGCGTGTATGAAATAAATAAATAATACGTTAACTCATTAAAAACAGAAACCATACTATGTCTCTGGTGCCTTCTGTCAACGTCACTGATGAGAAAGAGTTTCCATTTTCAAAAACACAGTGGAATAATAGTTTTATTAGTTTTCAACTCTTCAGTTAAGTCTTTGTGAATGTGGTCAGGTTAGTTTGAGGGAGTTTGATTTTTTTTTTTTTTTTTTGGTTTGTTTCTTGGGGCTTTTAGAAGAAAACGAGAAATAAAAAGACAGAAGTTGCTTTCCTTTGGTCTTTTGAAATTGCCCAGCTAAAACAGGCCCAGCTTGAGGCTTTGTTGGGTTGTTAGCCTACTGCTTCTGGGTTTTTTCAAATAACATAAATCAGTTGAGTTTCTTTAGTTGTAAAGATGTTTTCTGTGCTTCAGAATGCTCTTTCTAATAGCAAACTATCCTACTCCCTACCCTTTCCTTACAGTGTCTGCTGAGAGCAGGGGTTTTTTTTAAAAATCATAAGCCGAAAAAAAAAATCATAAGCCGGGGCAGGTAGGTGGCCCAGTAGATAGAGTTCCAGCCATGGAGTCAGGAGGACCCAAGTTCAAATTTGACCACAGACACATGATATTCACTAGCTGTGTGACCCCAGGCAAGTCACTTAACCTCTATTGCCTTGGGAAGAAAAAAAAATCTAAAAAAAAAGTAAAAATCATAAGCCCCTTTAAAAAATTTTTTTCCATTATCTTTTTTTTGAAGCATCTGATTTTTTTTTTTTTATTTTCAAAAATGTGTGTGTCATTTTGTGCATTAGTCCACCATGTCTCTGTTAGGAGACCTCTCCCCATCATCATTGAGCCTTTGGAATCATGACTGATCATTGGGTTGATCAGAATTCTTATGCCTTTCTAAATTGTTTTTTCAATGTAGTATTATGGTATAGATTTGTTCTTTAGTGTTCTGCCTACTCCACGTTGTTTCAGTCAATAAATAATAAAAACAATAATAATAATATAGCAGCTAGCATTTACATAGCACTTTAAAGTTTGCAAAACACTTTACACATGTTAACTCATTTGATTGTCACAGAAACCCTGTGACATAGGTGCTATTGTTATCTTCATTTTGCAGATAAGGAAACTGAGAAGCTCAGTGACTTACCCAGGGTCACACAGCTAATTAGTATCAAGGCAAGATTCAAATTCAGATCTTCCTGTCTCCAAGTCTCTGCCTCTTAGCTGTCTCAAAAGCCAAAACCATTTCCTTCTTCATTTCTTACCACACAGTAGTATTCTGTTGCATTCATATACCGTAAATTGTTTAGCATTCCCCAATTATGGATACCCCCTTAGGTTTCCAGTTCTGTGCCATCACAAAAAGAGTTACTATAAATATTTTTGCACACAGAGAACCTTTTCCCCTCTCTTTGATTTCTTTGTAGTATAGACTTAATAGTGGTCTATAGAGTGACCTAATAGTGGTATTGCTGGTCAAAAGATATTTATGGTTTAGTCACTTTGGGGACATAGTTCCATAGTACTTTCCAGAATGATGGTACCAGAGCTCTACCAGCTGTACATCAGTGTGCCTATTTGGGGGCAGCCCCTCCAGCATTTGTCATTTTCCTTTTTGGTCACCTCTTCCAATCTGATGGGTATAAATTGGAACATCAGTTACTTTAACTTGCATTTCTCTAATTATTAATGATTTGAAGTTTTTTTTTTTCCAAAAAGCTTGGCTTTCTTTTCTTGAAAACTGCCTCTTCAAATCCATTTATATCAATTGAGGAATGGCTCTTGTTCTTACAAATTTGAATAATTTCAATCAATTTATATCAATTGAGGAAGGGCTCTTATTTATATATGTGTATCTTGGAAATGAGACTTTTATCAGAGAAACTTGGTTTGTGCAGAGATTCATGACCTCTTTTGGGTCATGGACCTCTGGCTATCTGGTAATACCCATCAACCCCTTCTAAGAATAATGTTTCTAAATGAGTAAAATAAAATACATGGTATTACAAAGCAGTTCAACTGTATTGATTATTGTTTTGTGTTTTGTTTTTAGGCAGTTGGGGTTAAGTGACTTGCCCAGGGTCACACAGCTAGTAAGTGTCAAGTGTTTGGTCTGAGGCCGGATTTGAACTCGGGTCCTCCTGACTTCAGGGCCAGTGCTCTGTCCACTGTGCCACCTAGCTGCCCCCCAACTGTATTGATTAGCAAACAATTCATGATGCCTCTGAAATTTAACTCCAGAAGAACTCTCTGGCTTAAAGGCTGGCTAGTTTTCTTCACTTACACAAAAGGTGGGGAGGTACTGGCCCTTCAGTCAAGCCTGTATGTAGCAATATGTAGTAGATGCCTAACCAATGAATGTTTGCTGCTGCTACTGACATGCTAAATAGTGACATCTCTATTTTGGCCTATAGTTGGGCAAATAAGTACTATTTTATATGAATCAGTATCAGTACTATTTTATATGGTAGCCATATCCTAATGGTCCACCAGATCACTCTGCATGTTGCTTTTTTAAATGTCTCTTTGTGTCATTACCTTTCTATCCATACGTCTGTGGATGTCTCTGTTGCTTTCTATCTCTGTATTCTTTGTCTTTCTCAGTATCTCTCAGATATCTCTTCTGGCTATCCATCTGTTTTTCTGCCTTTCCATCTGAACGGTGTTAAACTTCCTGTCGTTAATTGAGAAAAGTAGATGATTAGAACGTTTGTATTTCTCTGGTAGAAGCCATCAAATTAAGTTGCTCTTAAGTGACCACATCAATTGTTGTGTTATCTTGGCAAAGTCATTTAACTTCAGTTTGCTTGTGTGTAAAGTGGAGATGAAAAACTGTGGCTGAGGTAGATACTTTGTAAACCCTTAGAATGTAGTGTAAACATGAGTTCTTCCATCATCTGTGGCTTTCAAAAGGAAAAAAAAAGATTCCAAACCCCTACTCTACATGTATTTCCTCAATCCTGAGCGTGGATATAGCGGCCCAGCTTCTAATAACATCCAGCTCCAGATCTTTGATCCTAGAATCTCTCCAATTCCACAATTGCTAAATGAAATGTTGGATTCAAAATAAACCCTGCCCCAAATCTTGCCACCTGATCTTTGGGAGATTTTTCCTTCAATGCAATAATCAAGCCTTTCTATTATAATTGTTAAGTATCGCACTTTGGAAATAAGTTTCTCAGTTCCCAACAGAAGGAGAAATATACCACGAAAGAGTTGAAATTGCCTTTCTTCACTAATTATGCAGTTTTACCTTATTTGAATTGCACCAACTTCCAGCAGTAAATGGTTGTTTGATTCTTTGTGTTTATTGAAGGTTTGCAAATCTGGGTATACTTCATGTGACAAAGAAAAAAGTATATGAAACATTGGAAGCACGGATGACAGATGCCTGTATAAGGGGGTATAATCCTGGACTTTTAGTGCATCCAGAACTCAACTATTTGCAACCAGAAGGTGGTGGAGAAAGACAACTCACAGGTGAATCTTAATCTCTCTCTCTCTCTCTCTCTCTCTCTCTCTCTCTCTCTCTCTCTCTCTCTCTCTGTCTCTCTGTCTCTCTGTCTCTCTGTGTCTCTGTCTCTCTCTCCCTCTCCCCTTTTATTCCATTGGACTTACATGTTTCAGACCACTGCCTCTTGTAGTGGATGCCAGAGAAAGAGGAGACCCAAAGCTAATATGTTGCTTTTTGGATGGTTTTCTCTTGGTTATTTTGCATAATACCACAGATTGTCAGAGCTGGATGTGATCTGAACAGTCATCAAGTTCAGCCCGTTCTTGTCACATATGAGCTCACTAAGGAAAAAAGTGGCTAAATACCTTGCCCAAGATTGGTAACAGCATTGGGATTTGAATTCAGGACTTCTGACTCTAAATTGAATGCTCTCACTAATGTAGAGTCAGGAAGACCTGTACTCAGATCCTGTCTCCAACACTTACTGTGACTGTGAACAAACCATTTAACCTGTCTGAGCTTCAGCTACCTCATCTGTAAAATGGAATAATACAGTCATTTACATCCCTAGTTTTTGAGGTTCAAATGAGATAATGTATTTGAAATTCTTTTCAGGTACAATCAAGATACCAACTCTTAATGTAGGAGCATATAGGAAAAGTTGAATTTACACTGCGCTCTTTTGAGCAAAGTAGAATTGAAGTAGCTCAAAAGAAATGTGAGATATGCAAATTTAGAGAATCTACCTCAAATGTTCACGTGGACTATTTATGCCTTACCTATGGTAGAGCATTCTGAGCTCATACTGGTCTGATCAGCCGTCGTCAGACACACTGTAAGTTGACTCTAGCATAGTGATGCCATTTTGGTCCTCTGAGAATGAAGGACAACAGCCAACCAAGCATATAGGAAAACTCTAATTTACACAGGAAATAGGAAAATGAAAAGTTTGAGGAAAAAAATTGAGTTGCAACTTTTATGTTTGCTTTCTTCAGTTGCTCTGTGTTGATGTAAATAATCCTGTATCCTGCATTTTAGGCACTTCTGCCAGAAACTATTTTGTTTAATTTAACTTTATTCTAAATCCACACATTTCTAGCCTAATGAGAGCATAACCCTCCCCTCCCAGGTCCCCACCCCCATCCTCCCCAGATAATTAGAGGTAGTATTTATAGAAGTTTTGATCAAAGAAAAATGACATAATATATTAAAATAGTTTTGAGTTAGCGTTCCAGAACAATAGTTACTACTCATTTCCTTCCTTGACACTCCCCTGAAGTGTTTTCCTGAAGTAATCAACAGGTATCTCTTCTCCCTCTGATCAATATCTTAATCTATCCTGAATGACTGAAGTTGGGCTAGGCAGATGGGGATGGCAGTGAGTTTAACTGGATAAAATGCTTTCTTCTAGTGAAGATGGGGAAGGCAATGAGTTTAACTGGATAAAATGCTTTCCTTACTCAAGATTTGATTTCCACTTTTAATCCATTTCCATAAGAAAGCCTGTTTTTTTCCTGGCCTTTTAAACATGCTTTTTTTTTTTTTTTTAAGGCAATTGGGGTTAAGTGACTTGCCCAGGGTCACACAGCTAGTACGTGTCAAGTGTTTGGTCTGAGACTGGATTTGAACTCAGGTTCTCCTGACTTCAGGGCCAGTACTCTATCCACTGCATCACCTAGCTGTCCCTAAACATACTTTAAACTGGGAAAAGTATGGAAAGGGTTTTCGGATGAGGGCAATAGTTACATCTTTTTAAAAAATTCAATATTTTATTTTTCTCCCATTATGGGAATATTTCCGTCTTATATATTTCTAGGGACACTGACAAGGAGGTCTTTAAATATGCTTCCACATCTGTAAGGGACCCCTCAAAAGCATCACATTTCAAGTGTCCTCCCCCTCCTCCCATGTTTCCATTGCATGTGGAATAAATGACCTGCCCTGTTTGTTCCTAGACAGGGAAAAGGAGATCATCCGACAGGCAGCTCTCCAGCAGACAAAGGAGATGGACCTCAGCGTGGTGCGGTTGATGTTCACAGCCTTTCTTCCAGACAGCACAGGCAGCTTCACCAGAAGACTGGAGCCCGTGGTGTCAGATGCAATCTATGACAGCAGTGAGTACACATTCCCTCACGTGGTTCCTTATGTGCCCATCTCCCCCTTCTTAACTGAAATACCAGCCTTTCTTGGTATGTGAATTCAGTCCATCTGGTGCTGTAGAGAAGCCTGGCAAGGAGATTCTGTTGGGCCTCTCAGAGGAAGAAAGAGCAGCTGCAATTTTCCTCTGGGATCCTAATGGGGTGGTGTGAGAAAAGTATTGTTAAGTTCTTTTCTTTCCCCTTTTTAGCCAATATTTCTTTGAGACCATGTATTCAAATGAGTACTCAAGAAATGTTTATGCAATTAAAATACTACGAACTAAATTAAGTTATTGCCTGAAGAATGAACTTCAAGCAAGCATTTTTGTCTATAACATGTATAGACCACTTTTGGCCAAGTTTTTTTTTTTCCCCAAAACTATACTGATCACCCAGCTGTTTACTTGATCTAGATGTGTGCTGTGGCATCCCCCAGGCAAACATCTGCCAATCAAATTCATTAAAAGACCTGTAGGCTCATCAAGATTTTGTGGAACTTGTGCTAAGTAGCAAAGTCCTCACCTTCCAGTTGTACCATGGACAGGTTTTTCTCATTATTGATAACATGTTTAAAGGGAACTTGGAGGTTTCTAAAAAGGCAAAGACTTCTCTATTAGAGATTGCCGTATAACACAGCTGGAGAGCAAAGAAGGAAGCTTTGTATCGTACCATTTACCACACTGAAACCTTTGCCCTTAACCACACAGAACCTTAATTTAGTTGAGGGGAAAATAACATTTCTGTTTTCCTTTACTTGAGAACAGGAATTGTCAAAAAGTTTAACTGAATTTTTTCCCTCAACACTCTTAAGGTGCTACCAACCTTAAAGTCCTATTATACAAATGATATTATATGCCAGCACAGGGCCAGGTACATATCTGGCATTTACAACTCATGGGTTGTAGGGCAACTAGGTGGCGTAGTGGATAGAGTGCCAGGCCTAGAGTCAGGAAGACCCTTCCTTCATGAGTTCAAATCTGGCCTCAGACACTTACTGTCTGTGTGACCCTGAACAAGTCACTTTACCCCCTGTCTGCCTCAGTTTCCTCATCTGTAAAATGATCTGGAAAAGGATATGGCAAACCACTCCAGTATCTTTGCCAAGAAAACACCAAATGGAGTCACAAATATGACTGAAAAACAACTCAACAACAACAAAAACTTGTTGGTTGATAAATCTATGATTGAATTGAGAACCATATAACCAAGAGATCAGAAATTTGTCGAAGATAAGACTTGGAACAAGGAAGCCTCTTAATATATTGGAAAAGTCCTATCACTCTCTGCATCCTCCCTATCCTCTTCTGCCCTGCCTCATAGATGTATAGTGGGAATGAATAAATTAATGCATTTCTTAGTGCTTAAAGGCACAGTGCTTGGTGCTTAAGAAATGTTTATTGACTTGACTTGACTTAATGTCCAAGTGTAGATTGAACTCTTTGACAGAAGGTATTTTCATTTTATTATTCTTAACCCACTTAAAATATCTTAGGTAAAGATATCTCTTTAAACATACTATTCTTCTTGAAATTTCTTGACCTCTCTTGCAAAAAAAAGCTTTGTTCCACTGGAAGCCTTCTGAAGTCCATGCTAAACTGTGGTTTTGTTACTATTCATTCTACCAACAGAAGCCCCCAACGCCTCCAATTTGAAGATTGTAAGAATGGACAGGACGGCAGGCTGTGTGACTGGAGGGGAGGAGATTTATCTTCTTTGTGATAAAGTTCAGAAAGGTAAGGGCATGCCTGGGCTTGTGAGGTGGAACATAGTTGAGACTGACAGTAATTGTTAGGTATTTATAACACTTTGCAAACCATATTCCTTTTTCTACTTACAATGGGTTGTAGTCCGTTTGTATCAAGTTTATTAAATGGCACTTGGGGTCTGACCACCTCTCGGTTGTATATCTCTCCTTAAACTTACCACTTGACTCATTTGTTTATTTTCTTCTTTCCTTCAGAACTCTAGAGGGATACAAGAGTATATTTGCATGATGTGTTCTCATTAATAAGATTTCAATATCTTCTCATCAACTAATTGATTTGTGTGAGACTCTACCCTAGTACATCAAATATTAATTATTTAATGAACTGGAGAAAACTTTTCCCATTGGTATTTACTCTGATTTCCTTATAACTAAATCAATATATTAAATTATAGAACATATGCAATTTGTTAACCAATGAGGACAGTGATTAGTAAAGTTTAAGGTAACTATTTATAATACTGTGGCTATAGACAGTGTCCCAGTCTACATCAATACGACAGTCCCCTCAATACAACAGCAGATGACTCCTGACTTCTCTGGAAACTTAGTTTCACCCCATTCGGTCTCCTTCCAGACACTGATTCAGTTATCTTCAGAATCTTCGTATTTCTCTTCAGTATAATAGCCACATTCAGTCTTTCATTAAATAAGTCAGATTAATCTATTGTTCCTGGCTTCTCTTTGGTAATCACAGGAAACAGTCTTCCCAAAATGCACTGTGCTTACCAGCCTTTTCCAAATTACTCTTAGAATTCTCTTTAAAGATTTATTTTTAACATCACTTCCGCCCATTCTGATGAGGAAGGAGTTTTTTTTTATATCTCCTTTTTCCTCTCTGTATTCTCCTTCATAGATCCTCATGGATTATAGACAAAACACGCATCTTCTTCCTGGGACTCCATAGGGAGAACCTTATTTCCAGACATCTCTCAATTGAGTCTTAAAACTTCCTGGGGGATGCTAGGTGGTGCAGCTGGTGGGTAGGTAGAGGTCTGGCCTTGGAGTCAGGAGGACCTGAGTTCACATCAGACCTCAGATACTTGACACTTATTAGCTGTGTGAACCTGAGCAGGTCACTTAACCCTGATTGTCTTACCAAAAAACAAAACAAAACAAAACAAAACAAAAAAAACCCAAACAGACATCCTGCACATGCTGCTTTGCTAAACATTCATTTAGAGCTTTTTCTGGCCTCTTAAAGCTGTAGTAACAATAGCTGTAGTCCCTCTGAGGTTGACATTTGAAACTAGGGTTATGTACTCATAGATCCCTTAAAACATTTGCTAATTTCACACCCAGACAAACCTCTGTTATTTTCAAACAAAGCATATTTATTTTTCCTCCTGATAAGAATAAAAAGAAGCAAGGAATAGTAACAATTTAAAGACAATAAATGGAGACTCAGATGTATTTCAGTGTTGTAAATGTGTTACAGTCTATGACCTCAGTTTTGCCAGAATGAATAGGGACTGTCCCACCTCTTACCCCCTCCTATGGTGAATAATAATGGTAATATAGTAGTCATTTGTTTCCTACATGGTGAGAATCACTACAGAATCTTCAAAAAAGGCAAAAAGTTAATTTTAAAATTCAAAAATAAAAATAAAGGTTAAAAAGTACTATAATCTGTCTCATTTATTGGATGAGGAATTAAGATGAGAAAGATGGAATGGGGAAAGAGTCAGTGGATCTCAAACGTTTTGTGCAGTTGCTATATACTTAGGACCTCAGCAGGTACCCGCAGTTCTTTCAAAAGTTTCTTGGTGACTGACTTTTAACAGTAGCAAGTGTTCGAAGGCTACATCAAGGGTAACAGATTGACAAGAATAGAGATGGATTACAGCGTGTTTTGAAATATCTTTCCAGCTCTACGATGCCTTCATTTCATTTATTTATTTTTAAATTTTTTTGATGCCTTCATTTTTAACTTGCTTATAAAACATCATTTAAAAAATCCATAAAGAGGTGTAACTGTTTTATAGATGACATCCAAATTCGATTTTATGAAGAAGAGGAGAATGGTGGGTTCTGGGAAGGCTTTGGAGATTTTTCTCCTACAGATGTTCACAGACAGGTAAAGATACGTTTGGATATTTTTTGAGAGGTATATCACTACGATTTGATAGGGTGCTAGAAATGCTAGCTATAGCAATAATATAAGAAAAAAATTGGGGGAATGAGCGTAGCCTGTAAACAAGCATTTATGAAGCACCAACAGTATACCAGACACTGTGCTAAGCCCTGGGGATACAAAGAAAGGCAAAATAAATGAAAGAAAGAAATGAAGAATGAACAGTGTTAAGGAGCTCAGAGTCTTAGTGGGCAAATGAAAGAAAATGATCACTTTTGTATATTTTCGAGATTTGGGTTTTGGGGGGGGGCTTAGAGGTAATTAAACATTTTGGGGTTTGGGGTTATTAATATGTTATATACTAATATGTTATAATATACAGTATGTATAGTATATTATATATTAATATCATATTATATCATTCATATTAATATATTGGGTAATTAAATTAGATAATTGGATAAATTGATAATTAAAAAGGATAGTGACTCTGGAATCACAATTTCTGAATTTCATTCTCAGCTATGACACTTAATAGCTCTGTGGCCTTGTGTCAAATCCTTTATCCTTTTCAAACCTCAGTTTCTTTGTCTGCAAAATTGAGGGAATTTGATGAGAAATGCGTCTTTTATAGGGTTGTTATTAAGGAAGTATTCTGTGATCCTTCAGGTGTTACATAAGCATCAGCAGTTATCATGATGAAATCTAGCCCTTTGCTTTCACAAAAGGAATTGAATTACTCACAAACATTTATTTAAATCCTGTGGCAAAATGCTTGAAATAACTGTGAGGGTTTTTTTTTTTGCCCCCAGAAAATCATTAATCATACAGGTCCCCATTAACCTTTGAGTCTCAGACTGTATGACAAGTCTTTGGTATGTCTCCCTGTTTGCTTCCTTGATGAGTCATAGGCAGTGAGCTCTGTACTCTTTAAAAAATTATTTTGAATTTATGGAATAAAACAAGCATTTCTGTAAGACAGAAGAATAAAAAAAGATGATTGCACATGAAACTGCAAATCTGTTATATACAACTTGCTATTCCTTTTAAATATATAATAAAATTATCATGTAAATTTTTTTCTCCTTTTTTCCTTCCCTCCCCTCTCCCCAACCTAGAGATAGCTATTATTAGACAAAAATATGCATATATATGTAAAATCATTCTTTGCATTTATTTATCAGTTCTTTCTCTGGATGCAGATAGCATCTTTCTTCATATGTCCTTTGTAGTTAATTTCAGTATTTACAGTGGTCAAAATGACTTAGTTGCTAAAAATCGTTCTCTTCTCACAAGAGTGGCATGCTTAAGCCTGTAAATAAATATTTATTGTTGTTTAGGCATTTCAGTTGTGTTCAATTTTCATGACCCCATTTGGGGTTTTCTCGGCAAAGATACTGGAGTGATTTGTATTGCCTTTTCTAGCTCATTTTACAAATGAAGAAATTGAGGCAAACAGAGTTAAGTGACTTGCCCAGGGTCTCACAGCTAGGAGGTGTCTGGGGTCATATTTGAATTCAAGTCTTCCTAATTTCAGGCCTGGTGCTCTATCCACTGCGCCATCTAACTGCCTCTATAAATAAATATGATATCTGCAAAAGGATACTTCACTGAAGTCTTTTTTTTTTTCCAGAAGCGGTCTTCAAACTAAGGGCCTCTTCTAGCTAGTGTATTTTAACTCATCATGAAAAGTCAGAAGGGTTGTCCAATGATAACTTAGCATATGTTTGAAAGCTGAGAGTTTGGATAGCCCAGTGCTGAGGAATATTGATGAGAAGACAGTTATTGTGCATGGCAAAGAGTTTGTAAGGGCAGAGAGATATCAGACCCCTCGTCCAGTCCTCTGCACTCCTCTCCCCTCAGTGAGAAAACCCCTTCTCCCAATAAGGGTCTTCAACTTATAGTCTGGGCCACTGAGATGTTACATGACTTGCCCATGGTCACACAGCCAATGTGTACCTGAAATAGGACTGGGACCCAGGTCTTCCTGAGTCTAACGCCTCCTCTCTGGCCAGCACACCACACTACCTCTACCCCAGCAGCATATGAGAGCATATGAGTTTTCAGGCTCGTGCATTTGGGGGCTTTAGTTGAGCTTTCCTGAGGGTGCAGAGAGCTCTGAAGTGTAACACACAGGGAGTGTATTTAATTTCTGGAGTGGTACATCCTGGGCAGCTACCCTTTTTCTCTCTTCCCTTCTCTCCCACCTCCCCTAACTAATTATTTCAGTGCTGTTAGAAGCAGTTATAGCAGGCTCTTAGAGCTGATATTGAAGAGGGAGAGAATGGGCCACCCATTTATTGGACCATCTTATAGGTGTGAAATTTATACACATAGGCATGACCAATTTTAAAACACTGGAGAAAATTGAACAATACAAATTAGATTATATTGATCGTTTGAAATAGCTTTTTTATCCAAAAATTTACTGAGAGAGAGAGAGAGAGACCCATCCTTATCCTGCATAAAGCTAGCTCTCTGTGTTTTGCAGTTTGCCATTGTATTCAAAACTCCAAAGTATAAAGATGTCAATATCACCAAGCCAGCCTCTGTATTTGTCCAGCTTCGGCGGAAATCTGACTTGGAAACCAGTGAGCCAAAGCCTTTTCTGTACTACCCAGAAATTAAAGGTAAGTCATTTTTGTCTCTTGCAAGCATTTTTCTAAGACATAGACACATAAGTATGGTGTCTGTCTGGATAGTTTCATGATGGCTAGGCCCCCGGAACCCAAGTGTCCATTTTCCAGAGAAGAGCCAAAAGAAATGCTATTTTAATATTCCCATAATAAGCAAATTTTAATCATATTACCCTGTCCAAGCTTATTTGAAATCTCAAGGTTTTGTGATGGATTTCCCCCAAATACATAACACTGCTCATATAATCAGCAAAGATTATAATTGGAGGTATATCCAAGGGAAAACTCTGCTTGGAGCAAAAAGGGAAAATACAAAACTGGGGAAACATTAAAAGTATCCTGTTAAGAATGCTTCTGGAATTACTGTTTTAGAAATTTCTCTTGAGGGATGTAGATTATGTTAAGGAACTAATCAACAAACATTTCCTACTAAATGCAAGGCACTGTTCTAGCAGTTGGAGATACAGACAAAAATGAAACAGACTTTGCCCTCAAGGAACTTCTATTCTGTAGAAAGAAATGATATATCCACTTATAAATATATAATATACAATAATACATTAAATATATTATTATAAAATTTACATACAATAAAATAATAAAACATAATAAATATGACATGCAATGATGTACTAAACCTATTATTATATATGTCACATAGAATAATAATATAATAAAATAGATGAATAACATAGTTAAAGAATATAGCAAGGAAGACCTCTAGCACATCAACTGGAACTCCCTATGGCAGACTTTTTTTTTTTTTTTTAAAGGCATTTGGGATTAAGTGACTTGCCCAGGGTCACACAGCTAGTAAGTGTCAAGTGTTTGGTCTGAGGCTGGATTTGAATTCAGGTCCTCCTGACTTCAGGATGGTGCTCTGTCCACTGTGCCACCTAACCTTCTATGGCAGACTTTTGAGAAGGCCATGGAGGATAGTTGCACAGACAGAGCAGGGCTGAATGAGTTGCATTCAGTAGTGTTGGAGGGTTCCCAAACTGATGAGATTACTGGTGCATTTGAGTATGTCGTTGCTTGTGTGCACAAAATAAATTCCAGGTAATTTTAGTGGAGGAATGGAAAGAAGAAATGGTAGTTTTAGTAGAAACAGGAATTAGGAAAGCCCTTATATAGGAAGGTTATGACATTTTATTGGGGTTATTTGGGTTTTCGAAAGGTGGCTAAAAGGCAGAAATGAGGAAGGAATACATTCCTAACCCAGGGGCTGTCTGTGAAAAAAGCACAGAGAAAGAAGATGGAATGCTGTGTAGGAGGAAAAGTGAGAGGACACTTTTTTTTTTTGCATAGCAAAGATAAACAAACATTCTCTAAGGGTTAGTGTTGGGTCAAGTGTTATTTAACATTTTCACGAATTATCTGGAAGAGAAAGTGCACCGTAAAATTTCCCAGTGTGCAGATTATATTAAACTCTTTTGGGTGGGGAAATCCTATAGGGCTGAACTGTAGCATGATAATAACATAGCATTTATATAGCATCTGCTATGTGCCAGGGACTGTGCTAAGTGCTGTACAAATATTAGCTCATTTGATTTGAGTGAGAGGAAGCTCTCATCTGGCTGTGTAACTAGGCAGGAAAGGGACAGGTGAGTTTGATTTGAGGAAATATAAAGAGAGAAATTACTCATATTATACTATTAGGATAATGGGCTCTAAACCCATAAGGTTTTTGTTTGTTTGTTTTGGTCTGGACCTTTGACTCATAATTTGTCAAGAACTCTCGGTGAGAAAATTCCATCTCCAGACATATATTGAGAACGGTGTTGAGTCTAGGAGAGCAGTCTGGAACACTCAGAGGTTATTTGTGATGTCTAAGGTCTCTCGACTAGTATGTGTGAGAAACTGGACTTGTATTTGGATCACAGGACCTCCATGATGGTCCAGAAAAGAGACCAGAGAGTTATTGTCAAAAATTCTGAGAAGACGTTGAGTTGATTGATTACCAACCAAAGGTGCTAGGTATTATGTACATACACATATGTATATGTGTGCATGTATGTGCATGCGTACACTTGTACGTATACACATATATATGTATACATACATATACACGTACATATACACATGCTCACACAAAAAACCACCCAAATTATCAGCAGTATATGTATATGGGTGGGTGTGGGTATAGGTGGGTGTGTGTATGGGTGGGTGTGGGTATGGGTGTGTGTATATGCACCTATATACAAAACCCAAAACGTAATCCTATAATGGCACAAAATCATGCGCATACCCTTGGAATATTGTGTGCGTTTCTGGTTGTTGACCTTAAGAAAGATGTAAAGGCAATAGACAAGTACTAAGAAGGGCAACAAAAATCATTAAAAGAATGAGAGGGGTCACTGTATGGAGGAGGGGTAAAAAGATCCCAATTGAAAACAAAAGCTGAGAGACAGTAAGATCAAACTTTATATAATTGTGGGTGAATATAAACTTTAAGAATCCATGCATGAGAACTAGGGATACCCTATAAAGTTTGAAAGAGAAAAGGTCAGGAGAAATGCAGTTAATAAATAATAGCTAGAATTTACATAGCACTTTACAAATGTCTTATTTCATATTCATAACAACCCTGAGAGGCAGGTACTATTATAATAGATGAACAAACTGGGGCCAGCAGAGGTTGTGACTTGCACAGGGTCACACAGCTAGTAAATTTCTGAGGTTGAATTTGAATTCAGGTCCGCCATTCTATCCAGCTACCTATTCTGTTTTAGACATCAAGTAGTGCTTTAGAAATTAGGTTACCGTAAGAGATGATATTGGTTGAAAATATAGTTTCAAAAAAGGTTTTGCTAGAATAATGACTGTCTGATCTGTGATAGATTACTGAAGGAAGCCTAGAGTGTTTGGGGAAGGAGGAAAATCCATCTCAAAGCGTCATGATATAAATGGAAAAGGTCACCAGACCAAAAATCAGGAGACTTGGCTCCTTTCTTTAACTTGCTGTGTGACCTTGGGCAGATCATCTAGTCTCTGGGCTTTTATGGTATTGGCCAAAATGATGTCTAAAGTTCTATTTGGGCTCTTTGATTTCCTGACCATTAATATTCTTTCCAAGATGGGTAGTTGTGACTTTTCACAATAATAAATTCCCTTGTTGTGCTTTTCAAAGAGAGGCTATCGGGCTGAATAATCCAGGAGCCTGGCCCAGGGCCACCGTGCTTATGTTTAATCCAAGACAGATTCAGAATGATGGTCTGTGAATATAATGAGGTTGACTATGTGGAATTCATTGTGTGAATTGATTTTAGTTGGAATAAATCAACCATTTGTTATGGAATTTAATAGTTAATAATAATATTTATTGGTAGGGAATCCATTTTATTTTTAAAAATTGCCTCCAAATTTCCCATTTTTCAGACAAAATACATCTGATAAATAGCCATGGTGTGAGCTAAGCAAAATGCATAAGAAAACCCAAGCTCGTACTTTGGTCTCTTTTGAGATTCCATCTTTCCTTTAGAATTGACTGGATGATGGGTACTTCCATCTTGTTCTACCTGGTCAAAGACCAGAGCACTGTGAGGTATAAACAGCAACACCTAAGATGAGTAATGGATTGGACTTTTAGTTCATCATGGTAAAATTTAGGGGGAAATCAACAAACTCATTAAAAGTTGTGAAATCACATTGAAAGTAGTGAAGTGAACTTCCCCAGATCCAGTTCAGTCATCTCTGAAATTACCCATCAGTGCAGTTTCTACAGGTGGTCTATTTCCTCAAAAGTTGACCAGCCCTGGCTCTTTTCCTCTTGAAGTAATCCCTTAAGATATCTGGGCTTGGTTTTTAAAATCATCATCTTCATCATTACCTGATAACTTCAGAGATCAGAAGGAGACTTTCCTTTCCAATTAGGTTTGTGTTATCTTATCTCCACTTCATGTGTTATCATGACCTATGCCATCTTCTTTTTTGCATCTCACTCTCCCCCACGATCAGTACGTATGTGGATTAGTTTGCTTTAAAAGAAATAGTAATTGTAAATCCCAATCATTATTTTGTTGTTCAGTCGTTTCTGACTCTACATCATTTAGGCAAAGATACTGGAGTGATTTGCCATTTCCTTCTCCAGCTCATTTTACAGATGAAGAAACTGAGGCAAATGGGGTTTATATTAGTACCTACTATATGCTGGGCACTGTGCTAAGGGCTTTGTAAATATTACATCTTTTGATCCTCACAAGAACCCCAGGAGGGGCAGCTAGATGGTGCAGTGGATAGAGTTCCGCCCTTGGAGTCAAGAGGACCTGAGTTCAAATGTGGCCTCAGACACTTGGCATTTACTAGCTGTGTGACCTTGGGCAAGTCACTTAACCCCAATTGCCTCACCAAAAAAAAAAAAAAAGATCCCCAGGAAGTTGGTGCTGTTATTATTTCTGTTCTACAATTGAGGGAATAGGCAGTCAGGTTAAGTGACTTGCCCAGGGTCACATAGTAGGTGTCTGAGGCTGGATTTGAACTCAGTGCTTCCTGACTCCAGGCCCAGTGATCTTTGCAATGTGGCCCCACCTAGCTGTACTGAAAGGCAGCATGGAATAATGGGTAGAGAGCCTGCTTCAGAGTCAGAAGACCTGGGTTCAGGTCTTGTCTCTGACATATATAAGCTGTGTGACCTTGGGCAAATCACTCAACCCCTTAGTGGCCCAGGCAGCTCTGTGAGTTTTAGAGCAAATGCTCTAAATGCTCCATCCTGGAGGGGAGCTCATTATGCTCCATGAAATAACAAATCCAGTCTCCTCTCCTCTCCTCTCCTTTCCTCCCCTCCCCTCTCCTCTCCTCCCCTCCCCTCCCCTCTCCTCCCCTCCCCTCTCCTCTCCTCTGTTTTTTTCTTTTCTCCTCTGTTCTTTTCTTTTCTTTTCTTTTCTTTTCTAGAATGAGTCTAGCCAACTCTCCCCAGATACAAGTATAGCAGCCTCTCCTGGACCATAATGATTGATATGAAAGCTTTGACCTGCTCTCTTTGCATCTAGGCTCCCTCCTTCCTCCGGCAGCTAGCTTAGTAGCTCCTCTCCAGGCGCTCAGTTTTGGAGCCAAACTCTGTGTAGGCATCCAGTTGGCTTGAGCCCAGCCACAGCTCAGAACGCCCCTGTTTGATGACTACAGCCTCAACCTCCTCTAGGAGCAAAAAATTACAGGCAGTATGCCACTCTGCCCAGCTCCAGGCTTTTTTTTTTTTTTTAAAAAAAAGGAAAGAAAAAAGAAATGTCACCAATGTCTTCTGACTTGTCCTTTTCTAAACATTCTAGTTCCATTCATCTTAGTAACTATGGCAAAGTTAGAAACTTGCGAGGAGAGTTGGGGACCATTGTGATCCCTTACAGTGTTGGTAGGACTTGGGTGTGTCCTTTCTTGTGGTATCACTGTGTCTGTTGCACAATTTGGTTACGCTTTGGAAGTGCTAATACAGTGCTTCTTGAAATCTAGTGTCTCTTCTCTGTAAGTACTTTCAATTTCCCTTTAAAGTGTTTAAAAATATATTCAGTGTTGATATTCTCTTTGTGGGTCCTGGTATCAACGAATTCAATCTTTTTTTTCCCCTCTGGTTTCTCTTCTGCCTTCTTTCTCTCTCTCTCTCTCTCTTTCTCTCTCTCTCTCTCTCTCTTTCTCCCTCTCTCTCTCTCTCTCTCAATACAGATAAAGAAGAAGTCCAAAGAAAACGACAAAAACTCATGCCTAATTTTTCAGATAGTTTTGGTGGAGGGAGTGGCCCTGGAGCAGGAGGAGGAGGGATGTTTGGTGGTGGCGGTGGAGGCAGTGGGAGTGGAACTGGCGGCCCAGGTAAGAATACCATCCAGCATCTCCATATTATCAGTTTGCATGGAGACCACATTTGCCCATCCCTTCTCTCCCCCTCCAGCTTATAGAAAACCCGTATGTGATCTAGAAGCAGTGCTGTTTTTCAGTACATACCTGAATGTGTTTTTCCTTTTGATGAGATCTAATTTTAGGCATGTAGTTAATATTAAGCCTGTAGTTGGACTCATCGTATTTGCTTGGAGTAAAATGTTCTTTTCCTACAAAATAAGGCTGTTGGTTAAATTGATTGTGGCAATCTGAATCTCATTCAGTATTGTCTTGTATTCCCCATGCAATGTCTTAGACCTTCCTTTAAACCAAAGATATTTGAGTTAGGGCTATCATAACCTACTATTAACATGTCTTCTTAATTATTCGAGAAATGGGTCACACACACTCCCCAAAACATACACACACATAACCCCCAAGGAAAGGTAGCTTGCAGTTAATTTTTTCTGTTTTTTTCACAACAACCCCATGAAGTAGATAGTGCCAGTATGATCATCTCTGTTTTATGCACGGAGAAATAGAAGCCTGGGAGGTGCCCAGTGGTCACACATCTCCTAGTTAATGGAACAGTGAAAGATCAGAAATTTTGTAGAAGTGGAAATCTATTGGCAATGCCCGCTCCTCCTCCAACATTTCTGGAGCTTTCTGATTTATGGTAGAGACACATATTCATCCCAAGAATGAGCCCTGTTGGTAGTGGAGGAGAGATGTCATTGTTGACTTTTGATTAAAAAAAATTCTAATGGCACATCTTTTATTTCCTTTGCTTTTTTAGGGTATGGCTTTGCTCCTTATGGATTTTCTTATGGAGGAATTCCCTTCCATCCTGGCACAACCAAATCTAATGCTGGGATGAAACATGGTAATGAATGCTGGGTTTTGTAATGTTAAAGGAAGAATACCAACAAAAAAATAATCCACAAACACCAAAAGAAGAAAGGTGTTTATAGTTTTACCGCAATAATAAGTTTTCTACTCACATCTTGAAGAATTAAGGGAACACAAATGAACACTATATTTTGCTAAAAGTTCTATTGAAGTCACACATTTATAGAGTGGGAGGGGACCCTGAAGCCACGTAGGCCAATATATACCTTCACAACAGTGGTTCTCAAACTTTTTGTATTTTGGACCCCTTTACATTCTTTTAAAATTATTTTACAATCTCTTTTAAAATTTAAATTTTATGATCTTCTTGAAGTTTAAAAGTTAAATTTTAAAAATTAAAATTTACAATCTTTTAAAATTATTGAGGATTCAAAAGTGATCATCAGTTATTTATGCAGGTTCTGCCTATCAGCACTTTCTGTATTACAAGTTAAAACTGATCAATTTAAAATATTTATTAATTCATTTAAAATAATAACAAACCCATGACATGTTAACATAAATAACATTTTTTGAAAAAAAAAACTGTTTTCCAGAACAAAAAAATTTTATTGAGAAGAATGTTTTTTTTTCTCAAATTTCTCTTATGTCTGGCTTAGTAAAAGAAAAGTGGCTTTCTGCTGTCAATCTGCTGCAATATGTTGTCTTGAAATATGTGAAGAAAATCCAACCCCCTGCAGATATAGTTGTAAAATGAATATTTATCAGGAAATTAATATTTTAGTCTTATTATGAAAATATATTTGCCCTTGCAGACCCTCTGAAAGGGCCTTGGGGACCTCCAGAGATCTATTGGGCTACACTTTGTGAACTGCTTGTTGTTGTTCAGTCATTTCAGCTGTGTCTGACTCTTCATGACCCCTTTTGGAGTTTTCTTAACAAAGATACTGGAGTGGTTTGCCATTTCCTTCTCCAGTTCCTTTACAGATGAGGAAACTGAGGCAAACAGGGTTAAGTGACTTGCCCAGGGTCACACAGCTAGTAAATATCTGAGGCCAGATTTGAACTGAGGTCTTCCTGACTCCAAGCCCAGTACTGTATTTACTGTGCCACCTAGCTGCCCTGAATTCTATCAGTGTACAATAAGGGAGAAAGAAAATTATCCAGACTTTAATTTTTTTTTCTTTTTTAAAATTTTTTTATTATGAACTTAATCATCAACAAACATGAATAGTTAAATACACAAAGAACAAAAAAAGATTCCCCATAGACTTCTTTGCATATAATTTTTTAAACTTAAAAAAGTTCATTTCCAATTAGTAGAAACTTTTAACCTCTTAAAATAACAGATGGTTTAATTTTAAAAATCAAAAAAGTGAAAATTTGAAAATTATTGAAAAACATTTTTTTCATAAGCATTTTTTAAACATCTTAAAATAACTTTTTTCTTCTCCATTTTCAGTGGAGTCCTATCATGTACTGTTGGGCCCTTCTTAACATCATATTATAGTGGGGGGAGTTGATTAGACTGAGAACCAGCTGATCTTTATTCATTATTTTTAGAAACCCTAGACTCCTCATCTGAGCAAGGCCATGAAGGCTGTGACAGTAGAGATAACAGGCACTCTGCAGATCTTTCTGGGAAAATACTGCAAACCACAGAGCAAGAAGATAAGTCCAGAGTCACTGGGGAAGATGAGGTTACTTTGACGTGCACAGTAGGAGTGGAGGAGGATGATTGTAGGTTACAGGGTGAGTGATAAGTAAATGATTAATCTTTATTGGAGCTTCTACATAGCAAGGTATTTCCTGAAGCTGATTAAAAGGGTGTCTGGGTTGTTTTTTAATGCTAAGATAAACCTGACATATTAATGCCTAACATAGTATGCCTTGTAGAATTTTATGCTCTAGGGACACAGTATAGAGCATGCATGTTAGGTCTTTTTTCTATTCCACCATCATCAGTTATTTTTTTACAAATACAACTGCCTCAGATAATACATACCAGAAGGATGTGTGTCTATCCTGATTTTTAAAAGCTTCAGAGAAGATTTCCCCCTCACCTTCTTTAGTAACCCACTGATGTGTCTTATAAACAAAGCACACAATCTGGAATCAGGAAGGAATCTCAGAGGTCGTTTTTATTCTAACCTGGAAAATCCAACATCTCAAAAGGCAGTAACCCAGACTCTGAACAAAGACCTCCAGGGATGGGAGACTCCCTCCCAAAGTAGCCTGGATGCACGTTGGAGAGCTCTGATTCTTATATCAAACCTAAATCTTCCTGTCTGCAGCTTCTGTTTGTCACTCCCAGGTCTACTTTCTGGGCCCAAGCACACTTGTAGATGCCCACCTTATTTCTACACTCCTCCTTCCCCCCAGCCCCCAAGTTTTCTCCAGGCCAAACATCCTCGGAATTCTCACCGAGGCTCAGGTGAAGGTTTGTCTGAAAACAAGACAGGCTAAACAGTTTCTCCTGGCCTTCTCCCGTACCATTTTGTAGATGAATTAGTTACATGATTATTTCTGCCCTCTGCTGAAAATACTGAGAACTGCTCAGATAATCTGTGATATTTCTAGGCTATTTGCCAAGAGGAAGTAAGCCGTAAAAACACTAATGGCTCATGGAAACTGTCTTCCAAAGGTGGATCAATTACATGTGTTTGCTAGGCTATCCCTTTCTTCCCTATTTTCTGGGTGTGGGGGGGCGAACCCTATTTTTTTCCCAAAGAGCTGTAACTTTAACCTTTAATTTATAACAAATCTGCCATCGCTGCTGACAGAATCCAGTGAAATGTTAAATGCACTAAGGCATTGATTATCCATCTCAATCAGAGCCCAGGATGGCTTGGGTTTTTAGGCTGAGGGTCCTCATCAAGAGTGGAAGCATTAAGATCAAAATGGTAGTTTGCTCATTTCTTCTTAAGCAGGCAGATCTCTCTGCTTCTCTCATCCAGTATTTTTTTCCCCTTTACTAAACACTAGATTGAATTCTCAGACTCCCATGCTTCTAATGTAAGCCCCCAAATCTTTTCAAACAAAACAATGCACATCTCAGAGAGAAAGTGAGCTAATTGATTTTTGCATGTTGATCTTTGGTCAAGCGGTATAATTCCCTGTAACAAATAGGCATAAGATATTGCAGTATGACTGTTACTGTCAGTTCTTTGAAGAAGACGGATGACTACCTTGCAGGTGACCTGTTCCTAGAGAAGGCCATGCAGCTTGCTAAACGGCATGCCAGTGCTCTCTTTGACTATGCAGTGACTGGCGATGTGAAGATGTTGCTAGCTGTCCAGCGCCATCTTACTGCGGTGCAGGATGACAATGGGGACAAGTAAGTGGGACTGTATATAGAACAAGGAGTTGGAGGAGGAGAGCAGGCCTGGAGATGGCAAGGGTTGCACTAAGCTATCAAATGACTGCCGGGGTTGGGCCATTCTGAAACATCCAGATAACAACTGTAATAATAGCCAACGTTGTATAATGCTTTAAAATTTGCTAAGCACCTTATCAATATTATGTCATTTTATCCTCACAATGACCCTGGAAGGTATATTCCCCACATTTTATAGATGAGGAAACTGAGGCTGAGAGGTTAAGTGACTTGCCCAGGGTCATGCAGCTAGTAAGTATCTGAGGCAGGATTTAAACTCAGATCTTCCTGACTCCATGTTCAGTGTTCTAGCCATTGAACCACTTGGCTGTCTAGATTTAAAGAAGTCCAGGGGGTTCTGTCAAATCAGCTGCCTCACTCTTCTCTAGCTGGGATGGCCTTCTTCTTCATCATCCCTTCATAGAAATGTCTGAGATAGTGCAGCCTGCTGGGAAGGAGAACTGAGATGGATTATATAGAGGTCCAGTCCTCAATGGAAATTCTTGCCTCTTGTGTTGTGTTGGTTATTGGCAGAGTGCTCACCAACCCACACGTTGCTTCCAAGCAGGTCCCAGAAAGGAGGCGTGGTGAGGTCATCCATTTAGCCCAAGGTTGAATGAGTATCTGGGTTCCTCAGATTTTTTTTTTTTGTAATGGTCCTTGACAACGACAAGCCTTCAAACGCCGTAGTCTCCAGTGCGGGTGTTCTGCTTAGCTCAGCCTCTGAACAGATCCCTGGGGGCAGAGGCAGAGTTTCCTTTTGTAGAATTTTCCATGCCCAGGTCACCCACTTTTCTTCAGGTCATTCTTCTCTTTTATCTACTGCTTGCAGTATCTTCAACTCCACTTTGCCCTCGTTGGTGTCTTTTTATTCCCCTTATCTATGGAAACTTCTTTTTAGTCTAACCACGTACTGTTCTCCTTAGACAGAGTTTGCACTGAAACATTCTTCAAAAGGCTACAGAGAGCTGATCTTCCTAAAGCCACTGGTCTGACTACATCACCCTCCTCCCTCCTTTAGTAAGCTGCAGTAGCTCCCTATTACCCCCAAGACCAAATACAAAGTTCTCTGTTTTGTGTTTAAAGCCCTTTATAATCCCCCCACCCCCCCCCCCCCCCCCCACACACACCTTTCCAGTCTTCTTCCACCTTACTTTTCTTCACGTACCCTTCGTGGACAGCCTGTTCCTTACACAAAATATTCCTTGCATTTTTGCTGGCTGTACCTCATGCCTGGAATTCTCTCCCTCCTCATCTCTGCCTCCTGAATTCCCAGTTAAACTTTCACCTTCTACAAAAAGCTTTTCCCACTCCCACTTAGTGCCTTCTCTCTGTGGTTATCCCCAGTTTATCCTGTAAAGGTCTTGTTTGTACACGGTCATTTGAATATCATCTTCCCATTAGATTGTGAGCAAGGACTGTCTTTGGCCTTTCTGTGCATTCCCAGAGTTTAGCATAGAGCTTGGCACTTAGCAAGTATATAAATAGCATAGTTAATAAACATAATAAACATAGCAAGTTAATAAACGTTTGTTGACTTAATAAGTAGCTATATTCTGTTGTAATGATTGCTTTCTTCTGTATACCTTAATTAATTGTGGTAAGTCTGCTTTTTTTTTTTCATATTTAAGTGTTTCCTTTGGTTTCCACCTAGTCATGGTGTTTGGTTCACGTCATGGTGATAACATCTGTCAGTGATTCCTATGCACCAAGCTTTACATTTCTGCTCTTACTGTAGTTTTAAACTTTGTCCCCATCATACCTGGCCAATCCCCATGAGCTCTCTTTGAAAATGATCCAGAGAGTTCTTTCATCATGGTCTTCTGACAGGCTTAGAGGCCTGTAATGAATTGTCACAAGCCAAGTACTTTGACTAAAATCTACTGAAATCATTTTCATCACTGAGATGGTTTTTTTCCCGTTGACTTTGGTATGAAACCTGAAGCAGATCTTTAAAGCAAATAACCCTGAGTATTCAGCGATCAGAGATCAGTGTTCTCATTCCTTACAGTGCAACCAAAGATGTGGTATATCCACTGACCTTATTGTTATACAGCCCAAGAGAATTCATATAACCTTTATGTTTAATGCCACAATAACTGTAGATCAGAAAACATACCAGAAAATATTCTTCAGTGCAAAATAATGTATAATTCAAAGAGAAAATAGTGAAGGAAGATAGTCATTTTTCTAGTGAATTTTCCAGGGGAAATCCAGAGCTAATGAGATCATAGTAAGAAATCTGTATTAACTAAAAGTGACTGCAAAAATATGAAAATGTCTGCGTGAAATAATGCTGAATGAAAAAAATCAGAACTTGAGAGCTTGTCTACAAATTGATTCCTATGAGATTAAAAAAATGTTTTCACAATCATAAGGATTGGAAGGAATTTTAGAATTTGATAATTATTTCTTTGCTGTCACTATTTGGCATATACATTTAGTTTTCATTATACCACTGAATAAAGACAAATTTTAAAAAGAAAAAGAAATAGTTTCTGGAGAAGCAGAGAGTTGTGTGTGCTGTAGGAGCAGGGGAAGCCAGACAATAAGGCGTGTTTAAGCATGTAGAGAGAGCCCGAAGGAAACAGTTGGTGAGGGCCTGTCCTTACCTATACAACCAGTCTGAAGGGATTTGAATGAATATTTAGAGCAGCAGCATCTGTCCTAATGAATTAGGCCCCAGTGTGTGTATGACCATGTCTTGTAGTAGAGGACGAGAGTAGTAATAATTATTTTATTCCTCCTCTCCCTCATCACTATCATTATCATCACTGGGTTAGAGAACTAAGATTCAGTCAAAGAGAATGATTTGTAATAACAGAAACAACAGACATCTTTTACTGCTAACATCACGGCTCATTTTCTTAAACTTTTTTCATTTTTAGCTAATTAACAATCTGAATCCTGTAGCCATGAGCCATCACATGAATGACAAGGAAAAACTGAGAAATTAAAACTCCTGACCATAGGGAAATCCCCATATGGAGGGAAAATTATCTCTTCTCTGAAATACACGTGGAAATTCTTTAGGAAGTTTTGGAAAGTGTGACATTTTTAATGGTTCATACGCATGATGCCTTCCACAAGTTTCAAGTGTTGATAGAAATCTTACAGCATAATATCTCAAGACCACCAGGAGCAAACATCATCTTTTTCTTAGAAAACCTCTGATTGGTGCTCATAGACCATTAAATATGAACCTTATAGACCATTAAATATGAACCTAAATAAATTGGTGCTTATAGACCATTAAATATGAACCTTATAGACCATCAAATATGAACCTATGAACCTATAAATTCCTAAACTGATTCCCCCCCACTAATTGATTATTGTCACTATCTTTACATTCTAGTGTGTTACACTTAGCAATCATCCATCTTCATGCTGAATTGGTACGGAACCTTCTAGAAGTGATATCTGGTTTGGTTTCTGATGACATCATTAACATGAGAAATGACCTCTACCAGGTAAGCAGAGATGTCAGTTTTTATTTAAAAAATGCATTTTTTTTTTAAATTTAAAGTTGGCTAAAGAAATTTCCTAGAATACAAGGTAATATAGAAACTTCCAGGCCATGGAACATGGGCCATAATAGGCCCTTGAATAAATTTGATGCAACAAATGATTGATTACATGTTCTTTGCACTTGTCCCTATATGTGGTTACAAAAAATGTGGCATAGCTTTGAAAAATCTTTAGTGATAATATCTTAAAAATCCTCTGTATTTGACTGTTAACTCCATGAAAAAAGAACCTTTTTTATTTCTGGGTGAGCCATTATGCTTATATAAATTGTGACATAGTTAACTTTTAACATCTTAGTATGAAGGGATATGGACAGCTACGTGGTGCAGTGGCAAAGTGCCAGGCCTGAAATCAGGAAGACTCATCTTCCTGAGTTCATATCCAGCTTCAGACACTTAGTGGCTATGTAACCCTGGCAAGACACTTAACCCTGTTTGCTCATCTGTCAAATGAGCTGGAGAAGGAAAAGGCAAACTACTCCAGTATCTTTGCCAAGAAAACCCTAAGTGGGGTCACGAAAAGTCAGACACAACTGAAAAATGACTGAACAATAACAATGAAAGAAAAAAAACCAAAGAGTCCAGATTTGGGTGTTTTTTTTCCCTTGGAATATTGGAAAAGGGAAATATACTAAAATATGATAGGCGCCTTGTCTTACATGCACTGTGTCACAGCTTTACTAAGATCAGGGGAAGATACTCTACTACTAATTCAAATCCCTCTAGATTCAAAACCTTCAGGTAAGGCAGTCACTGCCCATCTGTTCTTTGTACTTTTCTTACTGCTTCCTCTATGAAAGAAGAAGAAAATACAAGAGTCAGCTATACATAAGAAGCCTAAAGATTATTGCAGGGAAAAAACATTTTATTGAAAGTCCAGAATAAATGTACACAAAAGATAAAAAATATTTAGGGCTCTAAAAAGGAGTGCTTCAAATTGTAACTTAACTGACAAAATCAGATGATTTCAGGAGGTGTGTTTCAAAAAGTAGAAAAGGAAAAAGGGACCAAGGGAGAGGAAAAGAGAAGCCCATAAGATATTTTAGCACCCTAGAAATTAAGTGAGGAGTATCTTACAAGGTTTCCAAAGCCAATAATTTTCTTTTTTTTTTTTTCCCCTTTAAGAAAACTTTATTTCCCACTTGAATAATTTGGTTACAACACAACAGTATTTTACATAAATGACAGTTATTCTGAAATCTTTATTTAAGTCTCTGTATCTGAGGTAATAAAATCATATTGGTACAAGAAATATTAAAAAAAAAACAGTACAAATTGTACGTAGGACACAGCTTCCACTGCACGAGTGAATGCTAGAGACACCAGCTGGAGAATGAATGGATCTATTTTGACAACATTGCAAATGGGGCCTACTTTGAACAGTCTGTCGGTCTGTTGGTATGATTGTTCCCTCCATCCGCAGAGAACAAAACACCACCCATCCCTCTGTGTCTAGGTCTTCATTGAAGAGAGGGCACCCTTCAGATCGTGACCTTCTCTTCACGTCAAGCTGTCTCTTCCATTCTCTTCCTTCTCCTTTTATCTTTCTCTACCCTGAGGCTGCCTTCTCCCCACACCCATCCCTCATATTTTCCTTTGTTGTCTTTCTTCTCCCCTCTTTCTTATCTGTTCCTCACTTTTCTTTTACTTTTTCCGGTTGTCTAAGCTTTATGTTTCCTTTTGCCCAAATATTTCCTTAGTCTAGGTAAGGCCTTCACTCTGAGGTAGAATATTAAGTAAGGATTTTTGTTGTTGTTTTTGTTGTACTGATTTAATGAAGTTCTCAGTTCTTAATTTTAAAAAACTCTCTATTTTAAAACAACAAAAATCTATTAAGTTACTTGTGTGTCTCTCAAGTAATTTATTTTTCCCCTGTGATGAGTCATTGATTCTTGAAAGGCAAAAGGTTCTGCACTCCTGATTTCTCATCCTATTCTTTCTATCATATTCTCATCATATTCTTTTCTTTTACTGAAACCAATAAAGGAACTGGGCTCTTATGACACAGAAAGGAGGCTGAAGTAGGGGATTCTCCATTGGTCCATGACGCATAATTTGTAGGAAGGTTCACATGTAGTCAGGGCTTTGGTGATAGCCTCATTTTAGATTTTCTTTTGGAAACATCTCTGCCATTTGGCTGGGTCCCACAGCTAGTGAGTATCTGAGGCGAGATCTAAACTCAGGTCTTCCTGACTCCAGGCCCAGTGCTCAAGCCACTGAGCCATCTAGCTGCCTCAACTTCTATATTATGACTGATTAAGCAAATTCAATTCTGCCTCTTTTAAGGATTATCCAGTAACCACCAACCTTGATGGGAATAGGTATACTTAATTCTTTCAGTAACATGGCTGGGAGGGGGGGACCAGGTTGCAGTAATGTCTTTTTATCTTAACTTTTTCAAAATACATTTCCCTAAATTAGGGATTAATTAAGGCACTATTCTCCATCACCACCAAAAATCCTTTCTTATTTTTTCTGTAATTAAGATGTATAATTCTGAGATTCAAAAATTTGCAAGTCACATTTTTGTGGCCAGTCGGGAAGATTTATTAACCACCTGTTATGTGCTGGGTACCATGCTAAGCACTGGTCAAGGAGGGAATTTGTTTTGATTAACTATGCATATGTATTATAAGGACTTTTTCCCAATTCATTGTTGGGAGAGAGGGATCAGAGGGAGAAAAATTGTGTTAATTTAAAAACAATTTAATTTTAAATAAAATCCATAGATCAAGAAAATAGCAGATATACTCCTGGAAGGGAATGTTTTTGAGAGAGTTATCTAACCCCCAGTTATTTTGGGGAACAAATATAATACAAATTATTAGAATTTATCCTATAGATTGTATGATGGAAGGACCCCAGGGTTCTTAGAGGTCATACCAGCGTGTCCCAGGCCTGATAATTTGGAGGGGCTTTAAGCGTGGTCCCAGAGACAAGCTAGGCACTTGTCCTCTAAAAACAAACCTAAGTTTGGAGCTGCTCATCACCACATTGGCTGCAGAATGATGAATTATTAGGCCATAGAAACTCAAAAAGTCCCATCCATTGGGAGGAAAAGCGGTAAATGCCTCCACGGACAGGTCCCTGAAGTATTCCAGTCAATATACAGGCAATCTCTGCTTATCGTTTTTGACCCTAATTTCAACAGCTTCTTTCAACCAGCCTTTTTTTTTTATTAAAAAAAATATACTTGATGAAAAATGGCAGCATCATATTCCTCCCATTTCCAAGGGAGATCTGATCATTGTCTGTGAATGGTGAATGGGCTAAAGAGCAAGCAGCAGAAGATAGAATAGCAAACACCCCAAATGAGCTATAAAATCATAATTTTATAGACCATTTTACCTGGGGCTTTCATTCTACCCTGACCCGTGTTGTGTATTAACCTCATCATAACTCAGGTGCTGGAAGAAACCTCAGAGGTCACTGAGTTCAACTCCTTCATTTTACAGATGAGGAAACTGAGGCTCAGGGAGATTGTCCAAGGTCACATATTTGACATTCAGATCCAGTCTCATGACTCCAAGTGCCATAAAGACTCAGTAATGTAGCAAGTAATCCAAGCCCGGGCCTGTGCACAGCTGTTACCACCCATTGATGAAGTCCACATAATTGGGGGGAAGCTGTTCTTTTTTAACCCTTAAAGACACATATATTACAAAAGAGCAAAATTTTCACTAAATTGGGTTAAAAGCAATCAAGCATGAGCCATTTTGAAGCAAGTGATATTTATAATAATAATGATAATGATAGCTAGCATTTATAGGGTGCTTTGATGTTTGCGAAGTGCTCCACATAAGTTACTCATTTGATCCTTATAACCATCCTGGGATTATTGTCCCCTTTTACAGGTGAGGAAACTGAGGAACAGAAGAACTAGGTGACTTGCTGAGGGTCACATAGCTCATAAGAATCTGCAGTAGGATTTGAACTCAGGTCTTTCTGACTCTAAGTCCTGTGCTTTATCCACTGGGCCTCATAGTTGCCAACAGCATCTCACTAAGTTATTCCAGAGCAGCTCCATGCTGAAGAAAGGGGTGGATGGGGCCATACATAATCAGAGCCCCAGTGAGTTGTGGAAGGGATGCTATTCCTGGCTCACATCACTTATTTGACAAGGAGATCTTGGCTAACTCATCTTGCTTCTCTACCTTCTCCTCCATAAAATAAGCATGGCCTACCTTAGACGGCTGGTATTGTCATAAGTGTAAATATAATAAATATTATCATAAGCGTAAGTCATAACAGCAGAAAGATCTTTGACTTCTCAAAGTGCCTTTTTATTTAAAAAATTCTTTTTATTCTGAACTTGGACTCCAAAAAACCCTGGCATTTCCATACACATGAGATACAAAAAAGTATTCTGTGTGAAACTGTAAATCCCTTGTTTCATATCATTTTTTTCCTACAAAATACTTTCAAAACTGGCTAGCTTGTTTACACTTCCTTTCAAACTTCCTTCTCTTATCTTTGTCCATCTAAAAAATTTGTCGTGCCCCCACCCCCTCCCATTTTGGGCAAAGCTGTTGCTGACCTTCCCTTCTCCTAATTAAAAACCCAAAGAAATAAAGGGGGAAAAGAAACCTTACAGGGAAGGAAGAAAGCAAGCATTTATTAAGTGCCAACTCTGTTCCATTCACTGTATGAAAGCCTTTACAAATATTATCTCATTTGATCCTCACAACTTAGAAGGCAGGAACTATTATTATCCCATTTTAGAGCTGAGGAAACTGAGGCTGACAGATATTGAATGACACACAGCTAGGAAATATCTGAAGCTGGATTTAAACTCAGGTCTTCCTGATTCCAGGCCCTGAGCTCTATTCACTGCATCACCTAGCTGTGACAGGTGTAGTACTTACCCCAAAGGGCTGTTGTAAACATAAGGCAAATCTTACCATGTGATATAAATATCAATTATCATTAATATTTTACTCAACTTCCAGCACTAAGCACGACGCCTGGCACATAGTAGGGACTTGCTTAATAAATGTTTATTGAATTGAGTTTATTGAATAATTGCAAAGGTTAGTTACTAACTCAATCAGACAACTCACAACTTTTTTTTTTAAGGTACTCTAAAGCAAAGATGCTTCCTTATTAGTTTATGGTAGCCGTGATAATTAATGTAATTAAACCATAGAGAAATGCTGGGACTCTATCACTCTGAATAATCTCAAACACCTGGCCCTGGAAAGAGTCAGCTTTCCTCCCCCCACTAAACACATATAGCATAATCTGTGACGTAGGCAGGATGCTGTTAGCCGGCCTTATGGTGGAATCACAGCCCGTAACGGCCCAATGAAGGGGAAAGTATGCAAACAGGCGTTGCTAGCCAGGGCAGATTGCTCCGTGCTGTTCTGTGAAACACTCTCATTTGTATAAAAATAAAATATTGCTGTTCTCTTATCAGGGATCTCACTTTTTTAGAACCAAGTTGCTTTTGTTGACTATCTTGCTTTTTTCTTTTAAGGTGTCTTTTTTTATCCCCTGTTTCACTTCATATAAAGTTTTCAAAACTTCCTATCAACACTTAATAGATGGGAAATCCATTGGGCCCCTGCGAGGTGTCAGTGGCTTGACTATTCCAATATCCAGTGAGCCTCTCCCCTGCCAGGGTCCAAGAAAGTTCCTTAGCCACCTGCAGTGGAAGAATTCGTTGCTCCAAAGCGGCAGTTTGGATTTGGCTTAAGAGAGACAGAAAGCAGATGACTCATCTTGATAGAGAAAATTGCTTTTTTTTTTTTTTTTTTTACACCAAGGTTTGCAGTGAATAAGAGCACATTGCTTAACTAGGAGGTTCTAGCTATAGGGACCTTATGAAGGACAGCCAATAGAGGGCCTACATAAGGCTCAAAGTTTTGAGTAGAGTTGTTGACAAGTAAAAATATTGACCAAGAACAAGTCCCTGCTAGAAAGGAATTCAGATATCGGTGAAGAACAGTGGAATGACTGGGCAGCTGGGTGGCACACTGTGTAGTGCCTGGAGTCAAGAAGACTCATCTCCTTGAGTTCAAAACTAGCTTCAGACACTTGCTAGCTGTATGACCCTGGGCAAGTCCCTTAACCCTGATTGCCTCAGTTTCTTCATCTGTCAGATGAGCTAGAGAAGGAAATGGCGAAACCACTTCAGTATCTATTCCAAGAAAACCCCAAATTGGGTCATGAAGAGTCAAACACAATTGAACAACACAGTGGAATGAGCACTGATTGATGTCAGAGAAACTGGGTTCAAATCCTGGCTCTGTTACTGTGTGATTTTAGTCAAAACCTTTAAATTCTCTAGATCTTGGATTCCTTGTTTTTAAAACAAAGGGGTTGGGGCAGCTAGGTGGTGCAGTGGCCCTGGAGTCAGGAGGACCTGAGTTCAAATGTGGTCTCACTTACTAGCTGGCCAAGTCACTTAACCCCAATTGCCTCTCTGAAAATAAAATAAAATAAAATGAAGGGGTTTGACTAGATCCCTTTCTATTCTAAATCTGTCATCCTGACCTATTTTAATGGAAATTTTTAAAAAATTCATTGTGACAATAAAAGTATGAACACAACCCTAATTAAAGAATGTGTTCCATGTTCTTCCATAAATATGCCTATATTTAGTAACCCTATAATTTACAAAGTGTCCTAAAAGTCTTAGTGCCTTTTTGAGTAAACTGCACTAAAGGCCTTTAGGATACCTTCTATAATACTATTAATTGAAGAAGTGCCAGTCTGCATTGGTAGATGGATTTTCTCATCCTTCTGAAAGGGAGGGAGAAATTTGCCATAGGTCAGACAGTAACTTCCAAGTGGCTATAGGAATAAGAATCCTGGACCTCTTCTAGCTCTGATAACATTGTAGAAATAGTAAAGGTTTTCTTCTTTTCTCCATTTATCTGACATGGATTTTGCCTCCTTTCCATACCATTTCCAGACTCCCTTGCACTTAGCAGTCATCACCAAGCAGGAAGATGTGGTAGAGGACCTGCTGAGGGCTGGAGCCGACGTGAGCCTTCCTGACCGCCTGGGGAACTCAGTTTTACACTTAGCTGCAAAGGAAGGAGATGACAGAATTCTGAGCATATTACTAAAGCACAAAAAGATATCACCACTTATCGATCACCCCAATGGTGAAGGTAGGAAAAAAAATCACATTGGCTTTCTGTCAAAATGAACGGTTGATTTTGTTAACGTTTCTTTGGTAGCTACTGTAGTTTTTGTAGTTGCTTCTGTAGCTGAAGTAGATGGTCATGTAATAAATGTGGGTCCTCACCTAACCCTACTTTTCATCATCTCATAACTTTCTATTGCTTGTTGTTGTTGAATTAATGCTTTTAAAGGGAATTTGGCATGTGTTAGGTGGCAAAAGAAACAGCTAAGATATAACCAAAGAAAGGTGAATGAAAGGTTATCATTTCAACAAATGGCCGTATTTTGTCCATCAGAGAAGGAAAACAGCAGAAAAGGAACCAGACAGTGTTGCAAGAGGGATAAATTTATGTCAGTTCTGTAGAAGAGCTTGGACCTTGGACCATTAAGGAGTGGAAGGAGAAAGGGGTTTTCTAAACTCTGCAACTGATCTTTGGGGATTTTCCACCAAGGCTACCATCATCCTCTGGTGACTTCTGCATTTTGTACTTTGTGCCATAGGCTTGAATGCGATTCATCTGGCCATGCTGATCAACAGTATGCCCTGCCTTCGGCTAATGATTGCTGCTGGCGCAGATGTCAATGCCCAGGAGCAGACATCCGGGCGCACCGCCCTGCATCTGGCTGTTGAACAGGAGAATGTGTCCTTGGCGGGTTGCCTGTTGTTAGAGGTGAGTGCACTCACTGCCCTTTTAATTCAAGGCCCAGACTGAAAAATGGACAGAGCTCCAAGAAAGCAGATACAGAGACATGTCTCCTTCCTTGTGGATGGGAAGGCTTTGGCACAGGGAGAGGGCACTACTAGATGACAATATCGTATATACCTTCAGACCGCCTCACCATATCAGAAATTTTTACTTAAATTGCTTTTCTTTGTTACCAAGAGGGTTCAACCTGGGAAGAGGTGGGGGGTATAGAATTTTCAGGAACAAACTGGCAAAAATAAAGCAAAAGACATTGATAAAACATATTTTTGGGGGGAGGCAATTGGGGTTAAGTGACTTACCCAGGGTCACACAGCTAGTAAGTATATGAGACCAGAGTTGAACTCAGGTCCTCCTGACTCCAGGGCCAGTGCTCTATCCACTGTGCCACGTAGCTGCCCCTGAATAACTTCTTTTCAAAAACAGTGTCAGCAACAACTTTTCCTGCTCATCCAATTCTGCATCCTCCACACTGACAATGGCATCATTTCTACTAGTTCGTTGCCCTAGATTTCTCTCTCTCTCTGTCTCTCTCTCTGTCTCTCTCTCTCTCTCTCTCTCTCTCTCTGTGTCTCTCTGTCTCTCTCTCCTCCCACTGGCTTTGGCTTTTTGGCAATGATGCATCTATTGGGCATAGCTAGAAAGAGAGCATAGTGATGTGAGGAAATATGGACACATATTTCTCTCTACTCATTCTTTCTCTCTTTTGGTGAATGGCATTCTAGGGTGATGCCTACGTGGACAGCACCACCTATGACGGAACCACCCCCCTTCACATTGCTGCTGGACGAGGGTCCACGAAGCTAGCAGCTCTCCTCAAAGCAGCAGGTAGGATCAGCGGGGGTTTTTGTAGAAGTATCAGGCTTTGAATGCAGGCATCCATTAGGGCTGAAAGAGGAGGACAGACATGTATCTCTATATGATGCAGATCTCAATAGGCTACAGAGTTAGGTATATTTGGAACTTCCATAGACTGCATCCCATTGTAAGCATGATAAGGGTGTTTGCTATTTAGAGAAACTTTAGATCAGCCTTTCATAATGTGGATCTTCACTCCCATCTTGATCAGTTGTTTTGAAAAACGTAGTTTTGAGTGTACTAGGTTTTCATAAAATATATGTGAGAGACCAGTCTGGGAAACATCAGAAATCCAGATTAGGAAAAACCTCCCCTATGTGATACTGCTAACACTACTGCTTTGCAAGGAAGGAAAAAGTAGGAGCCCACATTCATGATTGCATTCCTCTATATAGACCATGATGCTGTTTGGCCTTAGAAATGGGAAAATGAGCTTGGATAAGGTTATATCTCAGCTGAAGTTTATGCCTTAAGCCCTTCAGGACTTCTCTCAGGAGAATATTCTGACCACCCAAAAAAAGGGTAGGCCTCCACCCTAAGTACTTCTTGGAAGAAAGGTGTCAAAATTTGTAATGAGTAAGTTGAGGGTTTTTGTTTCGTCTTTTAATCAGGAAATGCTTCCCAAAGCAGTAATAATAGTGTCCTGTCTCTCTCTCTTTCCCTCATGAAAACGAACCCTTTCTTCAGCAAGGTGCTATGCTCAGAGAGCAGGTTTTTGCATTTCCTGGTGTCTCTAGCAACTGGCACAGTGCCTGTTAAATAGGAAGCCCTGCTGTATTTGGTATGGGCCAATACATGCATAACTGTTGACAGGTTGATGATGTGTGTATATATACATATGTATGTGTATATATATGTATATGTGTATATACATACATGTACACACACACACATACACACACACATTCATCAATAGGTCTCAAGAGACTTATTCCTTTGTCTTTACGTTAGAATTTTAAATCCTTAAAATAAATGTTTCTCACGAATCTTTATCACTCTCCATTGAAGGAAGCATGCATTTCCTTAGTACACATACAGATGAAAAAAGCAGGGCACAGAACCTTTGTCACAAACTTACGAAGCCAGCCAAGCTCAGGTTTCCCAGTTCTATCCACTAAATTTTTGTGCCTGAATTTCTCCAGGCTTACAAGTGGATAATTCAACAAATGTTTAGTAAATGCCTTTTTCTTCTTCTTCTTTTTTTTTTTTTTTTTTTTGCCAAAGACAAGATTTATTAGAACATCTGTCATATTGGCCAGATTCTTAAGGAGTCTGAATGTTAGTACTCTATTGGCTAGGTTATGAGCAGTGGCTAGACTTTAAGAATCTGAGCCTAAGTGCCTTCTTTGATGCACTGTGTAGTACTGGAGATCCTGAGACTCTGAATACAGCACTTACAGCTTCCTAAAGTGATGAGGATCCAGAGAAGACCTCGATGAAAAATGGTACCTAGTTACCTACATGGATATCAGGCTATAATATCTTAACAAAGTGGCAAAATGTATTAGTTCTTGTCCCACATTGAGCATCTGTAGGAAGGAGTTCCTATGCATGGCAAGACATTCCAAAAGTCACAACTGGTCTTTGGGTTGTTCCCTTGGACTTTGTGTGCGCACTTCCTTCTGACTAAACACTTTTTGGCTACTTTTGAGAAGTCATTGCATCTCCTATTCCCGAGTTGAATTAGGTCCAGTCATACCTGAAAGGAGGGGAATCAACAACGTCTCTCAGGTGTAGTTTTCTCCTCTCACTCGAGGATGTTAATCTATCACCCTCTTATTGGCCTTCACAACTCACCAGCCCGAGAAAGGACCTCATGTTCCAACAGTACCAATTATAGCCCCCAGTTTTTTAAACGGTACAAAGATACACCACCCACAATACAGAGGCTAAGTAAATATATGCCATTTAGTCACTGATACATAACACGGCCAAGCCGACTGTTATTTTCTAAAGTAGGCCAAGAGCCCAGGCTTCAGATCTATCCAATTTCATATTCAATTCAATTTCAAAGCAATGTGCATGGTTGAGGCAACACTCTCACTATTTTAGGCAGCAGCTGGTTTTATTTACTGAAAATCATACACGTAACTGCCCCTGTCTTCCACTGTGTTTTGCCAATGAAGATGTGGCCACCAAAAGTATCTGGTAAATAAAAGTGATAAGGATACTAGTTAGCACTTATATAGCATTTTAACGTTTGTAAAGGACTTAATGAATGTAATCTCATTTCTCCTCACAACCACCTTGGGAGGGGGGTGTTATTATTATTATCTCATTTTACAAATGCAGAACATGAGATAGTTGGCAATTAAGTGAGTTGCTCAGGGTCACACAGCTAATAAGCATCTGAGGCTGGATTTAAACTCGGGTCTCCCTGACTCCAAATCCAGAGCTCTAGCAATGCAATGTGCCAGCTGGCTGCCCCCTGCTTAACTCTATGGGAAATACCTAACATATGTTACTCCTCAGGTGCAGACCCTCTTTTGGAGAACTTTGAACCTCTGTTTGACCTGGATGATGCTTGGGAACAGGATGGAGAAGATGAGGGAATAATTCCTGGGACCACCCCTCTGGATATGGCAGCCAACTCCCAGGTGAGGGGTTTCCCCAGCTCCTTGATCACTGGCTGAGGTAGAGAGAAAAACTGCTGATAAGGCAAAGAATAGAAAACATGTCAGGCAGGCTGTGGTGTTCTCCTGGTTTCTTATTCTTTGAACGCTATGCTCTCATCTTTTTTTTAAATAAATCCTGCTTCTAACGATACTTCATAACCTTGAAAAGCCTCTGTTGCTTTAACTCAGACCATTTAGATTTTGGATATTAAAGGTGGTTCTGTGTTAAGAATTGGGAGAGTAGAAAGGGTCTGGGAAGGAGGAATAAAACAGTACGAAGGGAGACTGAGCCACATCTGAACCGCCCCGCCATTGGCATCTTGACTTTGCAGTTTGGCATGAAGCTTGTGGTTTGTTCAGCTGAGTATTAAACAGCAACGTGCAGTCTTCTTAGGATTGCAGCAGGAATAAATAGAATTACAGAAGTTAGAGCCTTTGCTCATAGTACTGGAGGAGAAAGGCCACTTGGGACATGTGTTAGGTTCCCTGGTCTGGCCCCATCAGAGGGGCCAGGAGGAGGGAGGGGGCCACAGGAAGACTTCTGACATAGCAGAAGCTCTGTGAGTCTAACCGGGTTTCTGAATCCACTTCAATTCAGCTGTATTTATTAATTGCCTCCTGCATACAGAGCACTATATGGAGCTTATAGTATAATGGGGGGGTATTGCATGCATGCATGCACACGCACGCACACACAAACACACATACACCCATAGTAACAGAATGCTCATTTCACACTTCATCTTGATGTCATGAATGATGACAGAGACATATTTTTCCCTTGAAGTATGGCTTCTCGTGGCTGTGGGCTGTGTGATGAGGTCTTCTGAGAAAGTGACCATTTCAGTGTCCCATTTCTGTCTACCAGTAAAGAGGGTACAGCAGGACCAGCCTCAAGGCCAGGAGCACACTGGAGCATTGCCCCATTTAGACACCCAGACCCCCTTCCTGTATCCTGCCATTATGTGACCCACATAACAACATTAAAATGAATGGTTATGGCATCATTAATGCAAAATTCCAGCATATTTCCTTAACTGGCCTTACAAACAGGCAGTCACTTACATCCTGTGATTTCAGGGGGGCACCAAAAACAGTCCCTCAGTCTGTCCCCCAAACATCACCCCCAACTTCTGATAGCTGCTTGAAATTCCACCATTATGCTTTTTTTTTAAACTTTGGCTTAAGCTTTTCCCATTTTTCCTAAGATGATAACATTAATTTAAGCCTTTTCAGTCTTTCTGCCTTAATACAAGTGGGTTTGAGAGGCAACTTAGCCTGGCAGATGGAAAGCAGACCTTGGAGTCAGGAAGACCTGAATTCCAGTCATGCCTGTGACAGCAAGTTTTAGTAGGGAAGGTCAGAAAGCACAAGGACCCCTGAGGGTTGGGGGAGGGAGCCCTGAAGGGAGACATATGCTTGCTTCACAGTGCAGAATAGGTTCCCAGGTGCCCCCCAGAGAGGAGGTGGTAAGACTTCCCTGGCCCATACTCAGATAACTAATCAGCCTGCTCGGGGATTCCAGCAGCTTCCAGCATAGACAATTACCAGCAGAACCCAGGCAGCCCCCACCTTCACACTGCCTGGCTTTCTGTGAGTAAGAACCCCTGCACCATCAGCATCCCCAGACACCATTATTGCTTCAGGCACTGGTCAAGCAAAGGGACTGCTTTCCTGACAGTGGATTTTGGTCCATTTTGCTGTCCCTGCACCTGCATAAAAGACCTGTAAGGAGGTCTTCACAGCAACTGGGAGACACATAGAGAACCTAGCACTCATCCCATCACAAAGACTGAATTTACGAATCCTCTCCTAAGAGCTAGCTTTGATAGCAAAGGTGAAGAAAGCATGGGACTCTGAGCTTGAGGTATTGGGAAAAGGATTCCCCCAAGACACTCCCATTAATATGTAACATTTTCCTCTCTTCTTCCCAACAGGTCTATGACATATTAAATGGAAAGCCGTATCAATCAGAGTCAGCATCCAGTGATTTACTGGCACAAGGTAAGTTGTGATAGAATACAAATCTCTTCTTTTAATGATACTTTAAAATGCAAATCATTGCATGTTTTTTTAGGGAAAATATGTTTCAAACTGTGTCAAGCACAAGTTCTCGTTTAGGGTTTGAAGATCCTGGAGACACGAGGAAGGAGAATGCCCAGTTTTTTTGGCTTTTTTTTTGTGTGTGTGTTGTTAGGCAATGGGGGTTAAGTGACTTGCCCAGGGTCACACAGCTAGTAAGTGTTATGTGTCTGAGGCTGGATTTGAACTCAGGTCCTCCTGAATCCAGGGCCGGTGCTCTGTCCACTGCGCCACCTAGCTGCCCCATGAGAATGCCCAGTTTTAACCTACTGAAATACATATTAATTTTGCTCAGCAGGGCACCGACTGATCCTCAAATAAAGCAGTCTGATTGCTTCCACTGTGAGATGATGAGAGAACAATGCTGTCATGAACCATCGGTTATTAACCCATTCTGTCTCTCTTGTGGCTTCATCCCCTTCAGGAGATATGAAGCAGCTGAATGAAGACGCAAAGTTGCAGCTTTATAAGTTATTAGAAATGCCTGATCCAGACAAAAACTGGTCCACCCTGGCACAGAAATTAGGTCTGGGGATACTTAACAACGCCTTCCGGCTGAGTCCTGCTCCTTCCAAAACTCTAATGGACAACTATGAGGTGATGCCCCATTTTAAGCATTTGTTCATTGGCGTTTGGCTTTGGCTGTCTTCAACCATCCTTAGTCAGGAGGTAGAGCTACCTCCACCTGCCCTCACTCCCATATCTCAGAGGAAGAAAAACACTTCTTATCACTAGCTTACCTTCATGACCTAGTCATTCTAATTGGGAATAATAAACTCACCTCCTCTGAAAAGCTGTTCTCAAGCATTTTGGGGTTTTCCAGGGCCTCTAAGAAAATAAGATGTAGAGGATGGACACAATGATAATAGCTCTCATAGTTAACATTAAGCATCTGCAAAGTACTTTACATATGTTATCTGCTTTGATCCTTACAACAACCTCATGAGGGTAGGTGCTAATGTTGTCCCCATTTTATAGATGAGGAAACTGAGTCAGACAGAGGTTTTTTTTAATGACTTGCCCACAGGGGTCACAAAGCTAATGAGAGTCTGAGAGAGGATTCAAATAAACTTAAGTATTCCTGAGGCCAAGTCCAGCCTCCTATCCACTGTTTTTCCTTCCAATTCATGATTTTCCCCATTGTGGTTTCAATATGTCACAGGTTGGCATAAGAAATTAAATGGGAATTTTGGAGGAGTTTTGCAGAATCTGCAGATGACCCATGAAGGCCAGCAGGTGACACAGAAAAAAGTTTAGAAACTCAAAAATGCATAAAAAATATGTATAGTATTATATAATATAGCCTATGACCAAATACTTAACTGAAATTTTACAGTAAAGTACTGTGAACACCCCATAAAAGAAAAAGAAAAAAATCAAACTTCTTTTCTGGTACAAAGGGAAAGCCAAAAAGTTTTATGTGGATTTTCCAGATTGCAGGGGTACCACAGCCCAAATCCCCGCAATGTGGAAGGGATAACTGTAATTTTTTCTAGCTGCCGCAGAAAAATGCTGAGCTACTAAGTATTCCCTGGAAAGGTTTTTTGTGTTTGTTTGTTTGGACGTGAGTAAGGATCTGTCTATTTGTAATAACATCTACCTAGAAACAAAACATTATAAAGCCTCAGTGCAGCTGTCCAATCAGGAAGAGAGTTTCCTTATTGTCATCCAGTTTTTAAGTGATTGTGGTCTAGCCCACCCTCAGCCTTCACCCTGTTTTTCTTGAGTCTTTAAGGTCTTAGAGATGGGCTGAAAAGGAGAACACACAAAATGAAAATATTTCTACTCTTAGGAAAGCCAGGGCTGACTTTGGCTAGATGAGATTTCTTCCCCTTTGACTATTTCTTAGATGTTGCCAGAAGTCCCTGGGCCACGTGTCTCAGATTCTTCCATCTGTCTATATTGGGTCATCACAGGCTGACAAATTAGCTCCCAAGTTTTCATTTTGACCAACTTTTTTTGGGGGGGGGGCAATTGGGGTTAAGTGACTTGCCTAGGGTCACACAGCTATTAAGTGTCAAGTGTTTGGTCTGAGGCTGGATTTGAACTCAGGTCCTCCTGACTTCAGGGCCGGCGCTCTATCCACTGCGCCACCTAGCTGCCCCCATTTTGACCAACTTTTTAGTCAGTCTTACATTCTGACCATAGTCTAGAGACTGAGGTCTTTGCAGAATGGTGCAAACCACCCTGATTAGCAGGGTTCATTAGAACTAGATGGTGGTGAAAGTTTGGAATATGACAGCTTGGAGTGGTCTTAGTAATGAAATAAGGATGGGTCTCATGCATGTTCCTGCAGGGAAGGAGGCAGTAGCTCTAGAAAAACACATGCGTGCTACCTTCTGTGCCCCTGGGTTGCTGAGATGATAGTTTAGGGATCTAGGAGTCTCTTTGTAAGTTTGAAAAGTTGTCCTGGTTGGGTCCCTGCTTCCCAACAAAGGTTTGACTTTCTACCCCGAGAGCCCTCTGAGGAAGGAAGAGGCAGAGATGGGGGACAGAGACAACAGAGGGTTAAAAGAAAGATAGGAAAAGAAAGGGAGTGTAGGAGACAGATAAAGGGTAGAGGAAGAGAGAAGAGAGCAGTTCCCTATACTCCTCTCAGCCCAGCACCCTTCCTCGATTGAATAAGTGGGTTGGAATATAAACAACATGCACATTCTTGCCCAGTGGAAAATGTCCTTGATGCCAGATGGTAGTGTGGACGATGAGAGGTGTGGACAGTGAGAGGTGGGTTCCGATGAAGCCTATGGTCCTGCTGATGACTCTGTTTCTAAGAATTTAGAGTGTGGCTTGGTACAGACTGTAGAAACAACGTGGAGGTAAAGTCATTTGTCTTTCTTTTGAAAAATCCGTCCCCAGCTGCAGTTTTACAATAACTGTAGCCTTCACTTATGCAGGGAAACCCTCCAAATGCCACTTGATGTGGAGGTTTCACTGTCTCAGCATCTCTTTCTCTGTGCTCACTATAAACAGCCTCTCTGATATCCTGAGTGGTCTTCAAGAGATGAAACAGGAAATTGAATTCTTTTCAAGAAGGATACATTTTCTTTGTCACTGTACTCTGATGATTTGCATCTGACCAGTGGTGGTTCTGTCCCTCCAGTGTGTGGGGTGGCAGTGGCAAGAGAGAGGGAGGGAGGCTGTGGGGGAGAGAGAGGACATTGAAACTTGTAGCCAAATGGGGAAGATTCGCACTTTGTTCTGCTTGTTAAAGAGAATTGCAGTGTTTCTCACAAAGAAATGCTATTTTTACCCTTCTCTCTCACAGGTCTCTGGAGGGACGATAAGGGAACTGGTAGATGCCCTGGGACAAATGGGCTACACCGAAGCAATTGAAGTCATCCAGAAAGCCTTCGATGCCTCAGTAAATCCATCTGAAACCAAACAGCAACCTACAGAGCAGATATATTCTCTGCCCCCATCACCCTCCTCCATAAGACAGCAACTAGGTATGAGAATGATTACAAACTTGAAATGCTGTGTCTTGGGAGGATGGCGGGGATGATACACAGTCTACGTATTCCTGTGTGAGTGGTTGGCAGGCACCTTCCCCTGCTCCCTGACCTTGGACTTCCTAAATTAGTCATTCTTAACCTCGGTTGTCACAGGGCAGCTATTCCCACCCTTTGTTTTTGTTTAATCATTTATTCATGTCCAACTCTTCATGATCCCATTTGAGCTTTTCTTGGCAATGATACTGGAGTGGTTTGCCATTTTCTTCTCCAGCTCATTTGACAAATGAGGAAACTGAGGCAAACAGGGTTAAGTGACTTGCCCAGGGTCACACAGCTAGTAAGTGTTAAGTGTTTGGTCTGAGGATGGATTTGAACTCAAGTCCTCCTGACTCCAGGGCCAGTGCTCTATTCACTGCACCACCTAGATGCCCTATCACCACCCTAGAGGCACAGAATTATGAAGCTTAAAGACTTGGGGGCTCAGCTAATCCATTTCGTCTTATAGAGAAAAGAAATAAAGTCTGAGGTCGCTTAGTTAATTATTAATAGGATCAAGGTCCAGAGTTCCAGTCCTCTGGCTCCTGGCTCAGTTTTCTTCTTATGCCCTGGTGTGCATTGGACAGGTTGTGTAATGGTGACACCTCTCCATTGCCATTGCCAGTAGGGCTGGCAAGCAAAAAGATCTTTAGCGCCTAGAAGGAGGAACTTTAGGAGCAGCCGTGTTGAATGCCCCCAAGGTTTGCAGATTAATGAAGACGCTGTTTGAACCCGTGCAATTCTAATGGCAAGAGTAGATGAGGGGGCCTAGTTGTGTCCTGGATGCCTTGGGACTCCCCCTTCTTAGAACAATGCTTTTTAGTACATAGAATAAATTAGGTGGATTACAAATCAAATCAATTTTATTGAGATAAAGATGTAATTTTTTTCCCATCTAAGTTCACACCCTTCCCTTCCCACCTTGGAATCTATCCACTTTGGTTAAGAATCTCTCCCTAGATGCACGGTTGCATTTCACTACCAGCTTTCCAGGGCTGGGTACTGCTCACCTCTAGAATGGCACCTCCAGATAAAAGGGGCAGGAATCAGGAAGTGTTTTAACGATGGAACCCACAAGGAGGTTGTTCTTTGAGAATGAAATGAGTCACGTTCCCTGTGCCTCTGGGGTACCTTAAATTTAAGCTGGCTCAGTAGTAATCACAGCAATAAAAGTAGTCTTATGGATTAACAGACAAAACTAGCAGGGCATCCATCATCTACTTAGTTTTAAAATATCATTGAAAGTAGGCCAGTTGTATCTATGTCCCTCTTGCAGGTGAGAGCCCAGTTGTCCTCGACTACCAGCATTGTGCTGATGTATTCTAAAAACATTAAGGAAATGCTAGATAATGGGTGAAGTGCATAATGAGCTTTATTTATTTAGGGTTATTTCCTCAAGTAGATGTCAGACATGCCACTGGAATTTTCACAAATCTAGCAACACCATTTGATTAGAGTTTGAAAATGTTTGACCACCCAAATAGAATATCCAAGTAACTCATGAAAGTTGTTCATACTCCTACTGAGGTCTCCCATTAAGGAGAAATTTGGCTTAATTTTTCCAGAATGGTCTCATTAAAATTAAAAATCATCCCATATTTTATCAAATGGGCAGCTAGGTGGCACAGTGGATGGAGTACCAGGCCTGAAGTGAGGAAGACTCATTTTCCTGAGTTCAAATTTGGCCTCAGATATTTACTAGCTGTGTGACTCTGGGCAAGTCAGTTAACCCTGTTTGCCTCAGTCTCTCATCTGTCAAATGAGCTGGAGAAGGAAATAGCAAACTACTCTAGAATCTTTGCCAACAAAATCCCAAATAGGGTCACGAAGAGTTGGATACGACCAAAACGACTAAAGAAAAACAGGCTATTTTAATCAAAATAGTTCAAAGACTGAAAATAGTGTTGAATACATGGTATGTAGAACACTCAGTAAAAAAGTGTAGTGTGTGGTTCCTGTTCCATTCTGTCTACTGAGCCACCTAGCTACGGCAGATCAAGTGATCAAATACTTGCTTAGCCATTGACCATCCATCATAAAATAGGCTGGGAAAAAAGATTTTGTTTTATTAATCACATCAGCTTTACATGCAATGAATATCAAATTAAAGTCTCCTTTGAGACTCCGAACCAGTCCTGTGCCCATGCCCAGGAGAAATCCAGCATAAGAAGTCCCCTCTATGTTTCCCTTCTTGTTTCATTTTAATTGCAATGATGTTTTGAGTTTGTTTGTTTTTTTTTTGTTTATTTGTTTGTTTGTTTGTTTGTTTGTTTTTGAAGCAGTTGGGGTTAAGTAACTTGCCCAAGATCGTGCAGCTAATAAGTATTTGAGGCCGGATTTGAACTCAGGTTCTCCTGACTCCAGGGCCAGTGCTCTATCCGCTGTGCCACCTAACTGCCACCATTGCAATTATGTTTTGAGAGAAGCAGAGTATGTTTGCTAGGCCTATGTTTCTGCTCTTTAAAGTTCTTCAAAGGAGGGACTTCCGTTTATTTACTATCACAGTGTTTTGTGTCAGGGTAGGCGCTTAGTAGGTGTTTCCCTGGTTTCATTAGGTGTGTGATGGGGAAAAGTGAAAGTTGAGAGACAGGCAGTGGCAGAAATAAAGAGGGGAATTTAGTGTCAATTGTGCAGACCTAGTGATGTTTAATAACTCCATGCAATCATAGGCTACAAGAGCTGTCCAGCACTGAACAACTGTGCTCCGTCTTCCCTCCTCAGGTGAATTTTGTAAACTCCAGGACAATGAAAGTGTTTGTGACAGTGGGGTGGAGACCTCCTTCCGTAAACTCAGCTTTACTGAGTCTCTGACCAGCCCCAGCCCATTGATAACACTCAACAAAATGCCTCGTGACTATGGCCAGGAAGCATCAATCGAAGGCAAAGTTTAACAAAGGATTTACAGCACACCATGGAAATGAAAATCCTGAAACGCCATTTCACCAGTCAAAGGAAAGGAAGTTCAAGGTGCTCAGAGGAAGCAAACTGGTTTGAACTATTCTGGATTAAAACCAGGATCTTCAACTTCCTTCTTACTTCTTAAACTAACTTTAGTTTGGTTCATTTACAAGATATGTCTAGTAACCAGAACCCAGGGTCAGGGTGGCACCTTCTTTAGGGGAATGGGTCTTACCAAACCTTTTTTGACTGCCAATGAACTCAAGTGCTTTCTGTTTTTGTCCTGCTGTTCCTATGCTGCATACCCACTTCCCTTGAAAGACTTGGGGAGTGCCCACAAGGATACTCTCTCTAGCTTTTTGTAGTACAGTTACTCACTCAGATTATAAAGAAATTAAGAAAAAAGTATTTTGAAGTGGGACTCGCTCAATGTACAATTTTTTAAAAGCTCATTGCTTTTGGTTTTCATGATTCGAAAGAAAGGAATATGTATATTTCAGTGAATATTTAAACATTGGTCTAATCAATGCTGAAAATGGTATTTTCCACTGTTTCTGCATTTTACTATTGTAAATAATTTTTTAGATCAGATACTTTAAAGGAGAAATGTTGGATTTATAAATGCTATTTTTTATTTTACTTTTATAATAAAAGAAAAAGTAAATTGATAACCTCACCTTCTCTGATCTTTGAAGAGTCCCTTTCCGACAAAATACCTGGGGTTCATTCCATTGCCTTGTTCACACAGCCCCTTCACTTGTCAGCCTTTGTAAACTAAGGAACTTGAGACTTTGTCATCACGGTGAAGAACCAGAATCTGTCTAATGTTTTAGACATAGGCTTTGGACATAAGCCCAGATCCTGATCTCCTCATGGCAGATTATGCCTTTCTTTCTGCCAAAACAGCAGAACCATCTCTGAATCTTTCTTGAAGAATCTTTTCCATAAACCACCGAGACTGAAATATGTCAGAGTGCCCAAGTCTCTCTACAGGACATCATCTCATTAGGCTGGTTGACCAAGGACTCTCACAAGGAGCTTTGACAGCATTTAATTGCCATTCTAATTGTTCACTCTGGTTAGTTGTACCTCACCATCCTCCAGGATGCCCACCACCCATCCACTTACTAAAGTAATATTTTAAAGTTCGTACTTCATACTTTATTTCAATTAGAATGTTAAAATTTATAATTTATAACATGCAGAACAAATAGTAGGTTATTTATAGTGTTCATGTGAATAACTTATGAAATAATAACCATAATGATAATATTAATTTGATGGATAAGCTTGGTTTTCTGTACTGAGTTCCTATGAGATGTCATACATTTCCTCCCCTTCTGGATTTCCCCATCAAGATTCAGTTTAGTATGTTTTCTAGATCTGTTTAGAGGAAATTGTGGAGGGGAGCTCAATCCCATTGATTCCTAATACTCCCGCCATCTGGACTCTGCCCTACCAAGTTTCTCAAAATATGGTGTCATTGTTACTTCTTTTTTCAATCACTATTTGAGATGGACACTTACTGTTTTTAATGGCTATAGCAGAAAACCCCATTTCACTCAAATAAGATGTTATGGACACTAGTAAGATTTGTATCACTTTGATAAAATGGAGAACTCCTTACTCATCTGGAAACACAACACGATAAGCTTTTTAGGTTTAAATGTCTAAACATGGCTAACAGGTTCCTAATAAATTTGTATTTAGAAACAACTAATTCTTTAAAATGAGAATGCTTCTGTAGACTGGGTCAAGTGATTAATTAAAGTGATTAAAGCAGAGTTTTTTTTTTAGATTGGGAAATACGTGAATATTTCACAATTTATTATCCATGGCTCTGACTTTCTTATAAATAGTCACTTTATCATTGAGTAACCGAATGTGAATTTGAAGGCACTGCATTCATTGAGTACTGAGAATATCCATTTTAAAAATAAAGGTCCACCAAAAATACAAGTCTCAGGAGGAAATATGTTAGAAAAATGAATTTACTTCATCTTTATTATAATAATCAGGAAGAAAAATGGTGATGATCGTCTCTTAGCTCAAACATTCTTCAAACTACTTTGGCATGAGAAAGCCAACATGTTTTATAATGCTATCAAAGTGTCCTCTCTTACCTCTATCTCATCATATTTTTATCTTAGCTGGTAAGATTTTTAAAACATTTGGTTCTGCTTGTTAAAAGCAAGCAATTTTCTCCAAAAATATCACATAATGAACTGCTTAAGAAGTTGATTTCTTTTTTAACAACTTGAAAAATTGGATATAGCCTTTATTCTTCGATACAGGTAATTGTGTATGAAGCAATGTGTCTAAGTTACACACACTAGTGCTTATAGACCTATATTTCATTTGGACACTGAGCACCATAGGTGCTGATTCCAATACAATTTTGCCCCATTATATCATTTCCATTTCTAAAAGTCCAGCGATTTTACTGCAAATTCCTCCTGATGGGGCATTGCCATCAGTAGATTTGCAACTGCCGTATCAGTTTCAACAACTTGTCATACACATATAATCAAATTAGGATATATAACTACATCTATTGCTTAACTCATTTGTAATGCATTAGGAAGGTTTTAATTTCTCAAATTGATTACAAAGGTCTTCAGACATGGGCAATTCTCTTATTACTTAAACTGTCTTCACTTGTATCAGTTTCAACTTCTCTAATGGGTTTTCTCTATAAGCTGGTTGTATATTTATCCATCAAGAAAGGATATTATTTCACTTAAAGGCAAAATTTCAGAAAAATAGGTTGGATTTTAATTGCTGAGAATTACTAAAAAGTTGCAAGTATTTTTGGTTTTGAGATTTTTTTTGGGGGGGGGAAGCTAGCTTTGTTAAAATGAATGGCATTGAGAAATATAACAGCCATTATGGCATTTTTAAAATACCAAGATTAATTTGGAAATTATACTTTTCACATGCCATACCAAGTAATTTCTGTGATACATTCTCTTGGTCCAAATTATCTGGTTAGTGTTGCTTTTACATTAACTTTGAACTTTTTCATTTAAAAAAGTGCATTTATTTGTGGAATTGGACTAAAACATCCAGTAATTTCAGTTTCTGTTTTTCATTCCCCAGCACCACCATGGTCTAGGTTTTCCATGTTGGAAAGCTGTAAACTTAAAGGAAGAACTGGCATGACAGTAGAGGGTCTAAGTGTGAGGCTCACGACCATATTCCCTAACTTTTGGAGTAAAAGGATCCTACTCCAAAGCCCTTTCCCTCTGTTCCAGAAACTCCCTCATTCTTTTACTTACTCAAACCTCTACCCTGGCCAAGGCTTCTAAAATTAAGAGTCAGGCTAGTGATGGTATCAATCTCTTCTGCACCTCTATGGGATGGAGTCATTTTCATATGGCACCAGCAGATGGGGATAAAGCCACAATGAATGCAGCTCCTTCAGGGAAGGTCCTGCTAAGGCGTTGAAATACACCTTAACCTTAACACTTAGAGCACAGCAAGAAAAAAAAATTGTAAAATCACTTCCTGGGACTTTGATTACCTTTTGGGGTTTCTCTTCCTTTATAGGTATAACCCTGTCTATGAAGCCAGCTTTTTCTCAAGTCTTATTTGAATCAATATTCTTTTACACCAGGAATTCTTCACCTTTTTTGGGGGGGGGGACGGTGTCATGGTCTTCTTTAGCAGTCTTATGGATAGAAACTTATAGAAGCTTCTGGGTAGCTCCCCTCCTCAAAATCGTGTTTTTATCTATCTGTCTGTCTGTCTGTCTCTCTCTCTCTCTCACTTTCTCTATCTCTGTATCTCTCTCTCTGTCTATCTGTTTATTGGTGAGGCAGTTGGGGCTAAGTGACTTACCCGGAGTCACACAGCTAGTGAGTGTTATGTGTCTGAGGCTGGATTTGAACTCAGGTCCTCCTGACTCCAGGGCCAGTGCTCTATCCACTGTGCCACCTAGCTGCCCCTGTGTTTTTAAATATATAAGAAAAATGCATAGGAAAACAAGGAGACCAGTTACATTGAAATGCAATTATCAAAATATTTCTTAAAACCAAGTTCACAGACCCATTTTGGCCAAGCAAAACACCTGGTTTTCCTAAAAGCAAGTATCATCAATCAAGTCAGTTCACACAGATGTTTTCAGCCACCTAGGCACCCTAGCCCCAGGGGTCATCTGTCATCTGCGTTGACTTCTTAGTATTAGGTTGTCTATAGTTCTTTAAACAGGGGAAGAAAAAGTAAAGAGTTTTTGATGGAACTATTATAGCCTGCTAAGATGCAAAATGAACCAGGGTGTGGAGAGAAAGGATGTAGGATCTGATAGAAGGGGCTAAATTTCCACCTAGCAGAGGGATGGCTATGGTGCCTACCCTTTCAGTTGTAAATAGGTAAGTTCTCCAGTTTTTGGACCACACAGAAGTCTTGCTGCTCCGTTTTCTTTCCCATTTTATGTTTTGGGTCTTCTTTCTGCTTGTTAATACATCCATTATTTCAGTCCTGCTGATGCCTAAAACAATCATATTGCAGCCAAGACTAAAAAGTTCCATCAGGACTTTACTTAGCGCATGACATTATTGCCATAGGTGCCCTCCCTTTTGCTGTAATATTGGACCGGACCTGTGATTTTGTTGGTATAGGCAACTCCAAGTGAAGAAATTCCCACTACTAATGAGGATCATCTGCTCATCCTTGCTCTGAAACTGAGGTTAAATGACTTAACCCAAAGTCACAGAGCCAGTATTTATCAGGAGGCAGTCTTTCTGACTCAGAGTCTAGCATCCTGATGCCTCTCCCTTCTCTGCAATATTCACCCATTATCATGAACAGTAGACACTGGTAAATCCAAACAAGTTTTTCAGGGTTAGAAATTAAAGTTAGGAGAGAGAAAGCAATGGAAAATCAAAATTATTCTTAAAAGAGTCTTTAGATCAAGGGCTATGGGAGATAACAAGATGGTTTAAGGGTTGGAGTAGAAAACCATCTTCCTGTTTGTCTTGGATCTTACGGTGTGGCCTCATACAACCTACACATCTTGCAAGTTCCTGCTGTTATACAGAGTCCCTCTGGTAGGAGGGCAGGTGTGTTACACCTCAAGAACAGCCAGAGACAAAATGCAAATCAGAACAACTCTGAAGTAGCACATCACACCTATCGGATTGACCCACATAACAAAACAGGAAAATTATAAATGTTGGAGACGATGTGGGAAAATTGGAACACTAATGTTAGTGGAGTTGTGAAATGATCCAACCATTTTGGAGAGCAATTTGGAACTTTGCCCAAAGGGCTATAAAAATGTGCATACCCTTTGACCCAGCAATAGCACTTCTAGGGCTGTATCCCAAAGAGATCATACAAATGGGAAAAGGACCCACATGTACACAAATAGTTATAGCAGCTCTTTTTGTGGTGGCAAAGAAGTGGAAATTGAGAGGATGCCCATCAGTTGAGGAATGGCTGAGCAAGTTGTGGCATATGAATGTAATGGAATACTATTGTGCTATAAGAAATGATGAACAGGCTGACTTCAGAAAATCCTGGAAAGACTCATATGGTCTGATGCTGAGTGAAGTGAGCAGAACCAAGAGAATGTTGTACACAATAACAGCCACATTGTGTGATGACTAATATTGATAAACTTAACCCTTCCCAGCAACACAAGGATCTAAGACATCTCCAAAGGCCT